ATAATTAGTTATCATTCGTTAATTTCCATTTAGGTATATTACGGTGCAAGTGAATGGTAGCAGTCGTAATGACTTGCACAAGTTATTAGTCGCAATTATTCGCAGACATATTTTTCAAATAAAAAGTAATGCAAAGTCTTATTAGCTTTACTTGCCAGCACGTCATTTAGTGGAAAACATATATTATTACAAAGCTAAAATGCCTTCTCATTTCCCAATCCTTTTAACATCGATAATAAGCAAAGTGTAACTTTACTTTGCTCGACTTATCACTGCTCAGAAACTGCTAAATTTTATAGCAAAATTGAACCGAAAGGTCATTATTTTTGTCATTGGTTGCCATTTTCATTATTATTCACTCTCTGTTTGATTATATTTATGAGTGTAATACAGCGTTCAAAAATTTATGCACGTGAATCCCCTCCAACAGCACCATTTTATCAGTGCATACCTCTTATTAGTGGCTAACTGAACGCTACCTTTAATCTTACTACTTTGAAGAATATCTAACTTCTCCAGCCATAGATCTTGAGATCATCCGGAAACAACAGATGATTCGCAATGTGCATTCCTTGATTGGTTGGAACCACCACTTTATGGTACCTTATATTGAGCCGACGGCTCAACGGGTCCATATACAGACGGATAGAAGCGGAGAAAGGCCATCGCCTTGGAAAATTCATCGCCAAATTATCTTTCTTCAATATATTTTCCCCACTGTTCTTTAGAATGACCGCCATCTAGATGTGATCGTTTTTTCAGAAACCTGCTGATTTATAATGACATGTTAAGCCTGTCAATGCACTTAATCAAATATCCATGATAATCTGAATCGAACACTTTTTAAATGTCATACTACGTAGTATAAAGCTAGCTGCCAGATTCAACAGTCCTGCTTTTTCGCCACTTGAACCTTTCCAACAGTTTCTACTTGGTTATTTGCAAGTAGTCTTCTCGTAGCAATACCTGATTGCATGACTTTTGCTACACATTTGGTAGTCAACTTGAAAAGGTTCGACATACAAGTTATTGGCCTGAAGTCACTGCCTTTACTATCCAAATTCGGCTTTAGAGAGGAAAGTACCTTGCACTTCATAACCTGAATCGAATTCTTGCAAAGATAATGTTGTCATTCTTTTCCATCTCCGGGTTCAACATCTTACCCCAAAAATCGCTCATGTCTTCTGCCCTCACATCGGGCTGACAGGCTGTTTTTCGGCCAGATTTCTACTGAACTGTCTTGTGAACAGCTCGAGTCTAGCGATTAAATGTACATCGAGACTCGTTACTCTAACTTTATCTTTTAAACTCTCATTCGTTTCGTGAGCTTCATGACAGTCACTTTTAAGAGCAAGTATGGGATTCATTCCCTTCATGTATTTCTCGGCCTCTCATAGGTTTTTATCTTCAAGTGTTTCGTGGCCAAATGCTGATCAATGTGGGTTTTTTCGAATTTAAACAATTTACCTTCTTTTCTATGGCTGTCTTCCACTCCGATTGCTTCTTCTCCCGCCTTGTCATATCTTCATAGCATTCTTGTGTCATTTGGAGCTGCCTTGCAAGATCATTCATTGATTTGGATGGAGAAAAACTATACACGTAATCTAAGTTCTTTTCTTGTGATTTTACGTAACTGAAAAAAGCCATACCAAAAATATCAAGTATGTAATGAAGTTGAAAAAGAATCAGTATAAGAAAATATTTTCTATCTCCACGGAGTGAAATCTTTAATATTGTCACTTTTACGTCTTAATCCGATCGATTATCATTACTGGTAGAGTTCTGTTATTTGCTCAAGACAATCATTAAATCAAGTAGAGTCACTTCAAAGGCAGAGAATTATCAAATAATTGTGAGAAAGAAGCGGTACTCTTTGGCTTTAGTTGACGACCTTTGACTCGTTAATAAAATCATAATTTGTTAATTCATACCTTCCTTGTTTTACTCCGTTATCTTTGGCTTATACACTGTTTTCTTGCTGCACGAATTCAACGAAATATTAAGTGCTTCGTTTCAGCTGTTAGAACAAACAGTTGAAAATTGTAGATTGAAGTCGATGAGAGCGTCATTGCAATTAGAGTTAAATTGTTTGCAGTGTAGTACCTACTACCATATTCATCGATATAGTGGAGGGAAAGTGAGTCAAACTGAAATACGGGCCAGCTTCTCTGATAAAATTATCATTCCAATCGAACTTATCAGAATTTCTTATTTCGGAAAAGATCCATTCAATCAAAGTTTTTATTGCTTAGAGCAGTTTACTAAGATCATCAAATTGAAGGGTCTCTAACTGTGCAAGTTTAAATAAAATTAGATGCTAAAAGTTTCTCAGATATGCTACCCGTACTGAATAGGACAAGTCGTCAATTATTCACTGATAGTATGCCCGTTAGCTCTAGCTTAGGAAAAGAGTCAGCGTAAAAAACAACAGAGGTTAGAGGTCAAGCTGTAAAGGTACTTTATGGCTCAATAATTTCTCAAAGAAATATTCATTCCTTATCACTTAATGCCTCGCTAGAACAAAGTACAAGATCAGAGGGATGAAAGGTCAATTTGTGAAGATTTCTGGCAGCTTTGTTTTTGTTTTTTATCACTTTTTTCAATCACAGATCAGCAAAGATATGATGAATTTCATCCTTCAGTATCTGGCAATAATCTTATTAGATGATATAGCTACTAAGTTATTCCGTTTAATCATTGTGGCTTTTCTTAACAACTTCCGTTTGTAGAATTTTCAGTACTAATAGGTAGAGTCATTCCTTTTTCGATTAGTACAAAAATTCTTCGTTGGATTCCTTTGAATGATGCTGTGTTGGAACAGAAGGACTGTGCCGTTGTGCAATTGGTGGGCACCACACTCGTATTGAGGAGAGTGATCTGTGTACAGAAAAATTAATCTGCATATTATAGGTACTCGATGGAATGTTTGCTGTGCATTAGCACTGACCCATAGAAAATGCTTTTAGGTTGGGCACAACTTCTAGCATATTTTGTTTCTACACTGTCCCTCAGCAGGTCAGAGGTGATATGTAATTCTGAATAAATGATCTTTTCTGCGTCTTCTCTGTTGTTAGCCAAGATTGAGAAGTAAATAAATAGTCAAGGAAGTGACCGCAATTGTGATACCTTTTTCTCTTCGTTTGACTTCTTTCACAAGTATTTTGCATCATTTTCTTAGAATCAAAATCCATAACTTTAATTACTCAGAGTTTACTTTAGCGTTTTTCAACTTTTTGCCTTTTTTGAATCTTTTTTTCAATGAAGAATTGTTTTCTATCCTTTTTTCATACTCTCTCAGATTAGAGCACAACTTTTTGTAATTGCTCATTTTACTTTGGCTCGCTCACTAATACTCAATTATTATTAGTCTACAACTTTTTTTATTACCTTACCTTAACTTCAGCTGTATGCCTCTTTTTTCATTGACTTCTTACTCTCAAACTAATATCAATTACTTTTGGTTAAAATATTTAAGTAAAATTACGGAAATGCATTTAAGCGCATGCAAGGTAGCCTAACGCAGTAGTTTTTTAAATATTAGTACACTTAAGTAATCGGACTCACAATTCAGAATTAGTTTCTCACTTAATTTTTGATTACTTTAAAAATCACAGTCACCTAGTTTATAGAATGTGAATGGTCAGCTAATATTGACATTAATTACAGCAGTGAAATTCTTTAAGGAAAACAAAATAAACTTATATAAGGGTCCCTGCGCGTGAATAATAGTAACGTAAAGCTAGAGACAATTTTTAATTACGTGACGAGTGCAGTATTAATGAATTTAAAGTTTGAGAGAAGCAAAGCTTTTTTTGCTATATACTGACAGGATGAAATTCATTATATTTTTGTTATTTTGTCCTAACGCGTATATAATTTTATTAATATCATTAAGACTCTTTGACTTTTCTAGTTTCAGATTTTAAAGAAACTGCCGACATTATTAGTTTCTGATCAATTTTAAATTAAGTTTTTGCATAATTTTTAGACATAAAAGCCACGTCAAAGAATAAGAATATTGTTGCTAGTAAGAATATGCATTGAAATGAGAGCTACCAAGAATTATTTATTGCATATATCCATGAAAATACTAACTAATCCTCTATTAATGGTCTTTGCTAAGTTAATAATAATCAAAATAGAAAATAATAATAATAACGCAAGCATTAATAATATCATTTGCACTATTATTCTCATCACAATAGCAATCATAACTACCATTATTCTCATTTTCACTGAGCGTTTCCAACAAAACGAAATTAGTTGCTTCTCGCTTGCTGATTACTTTCAAGAAATAAATAAATGTCATTCACAAAGTACTCCATGTGAGTTTCCGTTGCTTAGTTGAGCCTCGTTTGCCCTTTTAAATTTTCCACTTTTTTATTACTTTGATGCATGACTGACTACTGGACGGATGAAGAAAAGTTCTGCGGCATTTGCACTTGCGAGTCACTTTATTTCATTACTTCATTGCAGCAGTCATTGACACGTATCTTCTGCTCTCAAAAGCACTCCTTCAGAAGACAGACAATCGGAATATTACTACAATAATACTTTAATGTCATACCTTTGCACTGTATTAATTAATGATGAAAAGCACTCGGGCACACTTACTTTACAATTAGATCAGATTTAGCGCTCGAATTGGAATTAATTCATGACTTTAAGCAAGCGAAATTAAGTCCCACAAAATCGACGGAACCCAATTAAAGTGTTGGAATAATTGCATGCGATATATTCTAAAATATCTGCAAGTAGCACATTCAGTTTCAGATATTAATGTCAAACAGAATTGAACTTGCTAATGGCAGTTATTTCATTGCTTTGCTTTAATTATTTCCGTTAAACTTGAAATGACTTTCATTCCATTATGCATTCAAACATTCTCTGCTTTATTTCGATAAGACTAATTAAATTTATGATTCTGGCAATTCATTTTTGATATTGTTGCAGTTCAGATGTGTTACATACAACGATACTATTGTGTTTGGTCTTTTTATATGATAACTGTCGCTGTATTTGCTGATCGATATGATTCTCAAGCAAGCTTTGGATCTTCTGCTTCATCTTCTTATCTTCGAAAGTTAATTAATCGAAATGACGTGGCACGTGAGCGTGAAGTAATCCCTCGCATTATGAGTAAGCTTTTAGATTAGTTCCAAGATTCATCATTCAAACATTTATGCCTAATTCTTTTAATTCATGAGAATTAAAAATGAATCTAAAAAATTTAAACCTTTTTATGAACTGAATAGTACCAAATTATACTCGAATTCAAATTTAATGTCTGATCCATTCTGAAGACAGCATCACAGCTGCAGTTTTCAGTGAATCCCATGGCTAAAAAATTTTTAAAAATATAACTGCTTGCTAGAGATTTCAAATAAAAGAAAAGCATTCAGTTGCTGATGACATGACTCGGTGAAAATTTTCACACTTTGATTTTTGTTCATTTTCAATTCATTTCCTTCAATTGTCTGCATCGTAAAACCTTCAGGTTTTTGTAGCCAATTTTAATTTTTCTGACACATGCTATTTAGAAATGCGAACTTTGCGTAATCCAAAAAGTTGATAAAGTGCCGGAGATAATAGTTTGTAAAATCCTTACACCACTGTATCCTTAAATCATTTCAAATCACGGGTATTGCACTTTGATTAGTATAACGTAACTATAAATTTACTTGATATGAAAGCATGAAATACTTACTGATGTTTTGCAGAAATCTACCATTATGATAATTTGACGGACTGTGAAGCAGTTTGTGAAATTCCCTGTGGCACCACGTATGTGATCCGAAATGACGTAGATGAGCGACGTCAATTTATCTGTACACAGCGAAAAGTGCCTGCTGTCTCAGCATTTATCACTTTCAGTAACACAGGCATCATCCCAATAATTATGTTAATTGCTCTGGTTAGTATATCACATTAATATATTATAGAATTATGCAAATTAAAAGCTATTCAGATGAGAGATTAGAAGTAATATTCGGAATATATTTATGCATAGTTTGTACTGTCAAAGCATAGTAGTATCTGAACACTTTGAGAATTTAATATGGCGAAGTGACTAATAACATTTAGTGAATGATACTCTGCAGATTTCGCATTGTTTGAGAATGAAGAATTAACTGTGTCATAGTGTTGTAAATGTTATCATCAGGCCTAATAATGCAGCAATAAATGATTCACGTAAAGTCTTAGGTAACTTGCGTGACTATTATGACTAAGTTATGGTGTAATGCTCTAGAATGAATAATAATAAATACAAATTCTAGTAGAAAAGTTTGCTAGCATTTCTTATTTTTAAAGAATTTTCATAATTTCGATATCATTTTTTATTTTTTAGTCGTTGCAGATCCTATTTGGTTTACTACTCATAACTTGCTGTTGTTGCATGCGCTGCGGTTGTGGCTGTGGTTGCTGTAGGAAAGCATGTCAGTCTAGTAATTCATCGAATGATCCACTAGTAAACGGAGAATTCCGTGAGGTGTTGGATTCTAAGGATATTGGGTATCTGAAGAAGGAAACTGCAAGGAAGATAGTCACTGTTTGAAATGTTTTCGAGATTTCTTTTTCGGACTTCTCATAGGATTCTCAGCGCTCATATTTGTAGTCTTCTAATTCTAAAACGAAATAATATATTTGATTTTTATTCTGATTGTTCATGACTTCATTTCACCACAAAACATATAATTCAGGAAAATCTAATTTAATTATAGCTCTTGAGACTTTCACAGAGTTATAAATAAGTTTAGAAGTTTGCGAGCAGTCATTTTCATCTTTTTCTGTGTCAAATTTTTGATTGTAGAGTTCTTCCGAAAATTCCTTCCTAGTTGAAATTAATAATGCAATCACTTTAATTTTAGGTGCCGAATTTGAACAAAATTAGATGGTATTAATTTGTAACATTGCAAACTATGTAAAGGAATTAAAATGATCTCATATCGACATTTTATATGATGGAATTTGTTTGAATGTCAACATTGACAACTTCTAGACACCAATGAAAATATAATAAACATTCGCACACATTTTAGTGCATCGCTACCTAATAATTTATCGAGTTGTTCTACTTTTGAACTAAGTAAAGTAAGAAATTATTAAACCCATTCTTATATGCAGGTCTAATTACTTATTTCAGAACAAGCATTTGATTGCTTCCAATGTTAGCAATGACTTCTGCTAAGCTTTTCTTTATCTGAATTTGATTGTTGATTTTGTGATATAGACATGGAAAGAATTTAATTATCAAATAATCTAACTAATTTTACTTTTTCACCAAACTATGAAGGCTTTATCACTTATTTTATCATTGTGCATTGATCTCTGAAACTTTTGTTCGACTTGAGAAGCGTAGTTTTATTTTGGAACGATTTTATGAACAATAGCACAGTGCCTTCCATTACATCACCATTTTACTTTGATCAAAATCTGATGTTTAGCCTTAATTTAATCAAGTTTCTGAGAAGTTATCATAAATTTAGAATTTCAAAATCAAATTGGAATTTCGTATTTTTGATTCTTTTGCAGAAGTTTTGAGTTGAAGATTACAATTTTCCTGATCTAAAGAGTTGGGCTTTCGTTTCTAATGAGCAAAACTTCACTTTCAGTATAGTATTAAGCTATATTCGGGCTTTTCGAACAAGTTTCCATTGTTTTTGTTATCCCATTATTTATCTCAGTTAATGTCTGATTTCATTTTTGCTATTGTCAGAGTGACTGTTGTTGAAAACTTATTGAATGTATACATTTGATTGGGCAGAACCCATCACTATCGAAAATAATAAATTACGAGAAAAGAAGCTGAAAAAACTTTGATATTTGTCTCGATCTGTTAAACGAAACTCAAATTAGACGCAAATCAATCGAGCGTAACGAAATTTGAATGATTAATTGATAGTCCGAATTTGAATGAATAATTAATTGATAAATGCATAATTAATTGTTCATAATTTTTCCGTTTTTCTGTGCAATGTCTTGGCTCTGAATGAAATAATTTGTGATGTTATTTTGTATTATAAACTTTCCTGTAAAAAATGTTAATGCTAGAATTTGTGCACATAAAAATGCTTGCCCGACAAATATCGTACGATGCGGAAATTGAAGTATTAATTTTATTAATTCATGTCATATGTAATTAATTGCACAATCCAAACGGTTGAAAATGAATATTTCAGTAATGCGAGGATAATAGCTATGATGTCGTAATGAGCATTTTCATTTGAATTTGTAAAATTTGCTTAAAAGTCAAAATATTGGCAGCACTGAGTGGATTTCTGTACAAATGACAGGTGCTGTTTGCATTTGTAAGTTAATATGTGTTTCATCTGTAGGTACCATTGAATTTGTCATCTTGGAGTACAAGTTTGAACATAAATAAGTCACAGTGTGAATTCATTCTCTTCCACTGTTTGCTTGAGAAGAATAAATATACATCTTCATAAAACTGTGTCGTGATGTGCAGATCAGTTCAATTAGACATATGGGAAATTTATAATTGCTGAGCTGTGTCCTCTGATTAATATGTAAAATGCCGTAACTGAGCAACATTTATACGTGTTCGACCCATTAAACAGTGGAGTTGATTATAAACTGAAACAGAAACAGGAATCTCCAGAAAATAATCGGAATTACAGTTTATTTGTCTATCAATTTTAATGTTCGTTTCATATGCGTGCAAGAATTGACCTCTTAGACAATACAACCGCTGAAAATTTATTAGCAGCACAGAAAGCACTCAAACATATTTAAATAAGAAGGAAAACTCATCACACAAGGCCTTACACAGATGGAAAGTAATGAGTAAGCCCTCAATGTCGGATTCATCAATGTAGTTACGTCAAAAAAAGTTTGCATCCCACAAACAGCTTTCGATTTCATTTTTTATAGAAATTAAACTATCACAATGCGAAAAGATGAAGCGCAATACTATTGACTTTCAAGAGAGCAATACGTTTAGAAATTAGAATCTGGCAAAGTTGAAGACGTTGAACAGTGACGACTTCCATAAACGTTACGTAAAGGAGATTGATATATCTGACTATATCGAGGCATAGACCCAATTTCTAGTGCTCAAAAAGAGTTCGAAAGTATCTCATTCGATGACGACTGTGGATCGTACTAGAATGAAGCCTCAACGGAGATCAGCACAACAAATCTGAGTAGCCAAAGAACATAACGCGAGTGTCAAAGCACAATCAGCGTCATTATTAGTAATGTAGTAAAGTCACTAACCTCCATTGCATTATTACCATATTTTATATATGTAATCTTTACTTAGCAGAGCCAAACGGGTTTTTGAATAGATTGAAATTCTCAGTTATGCATGACGTAGACTTCTTTTAAAATATGATAGTATCATAGAAATGATTGGCTGTGAAACGATCGATGGTTTGGTAATCAAAAAAGGTAATCTTTAAACCGATTAGTGTAGAAATCAACAATTATCAGGTTATCAGTGACGCAAGTGATAAAATATTTTGTATTTTTGTCGTATAAAAAATGTACATCTAGGTGTGAATTTGTATTTTTTGTACGCTGTAAATGTAGTTCTCATAATAAAATCTGATACGTTTCCCAGTAATAAAAACTGCAATAAATAGAAATAAAATTTGCATCCCACTAGCAGCTTTCGATTTCATCTTTTTTTCAGAAATAAAACTACCGTAATACCGACATAAATTTTTTTACAGTCAGTTGAAAAACCATATTTGAGTATGTCTCAACTCAACAAATGAATGCATAAGCTTTAAGCATTCCCATTTCAACTTTTGAAGCTGAATGCCATAAATTTCATCTTTAGGGCATTTTATTGTGCTCAAAGCAAGCTTCCTCAATGAAGTAAAAGTAAACGACGAGCATTGGGAAGAATTTGGAGTCTTTGGAGTCCAGCTGAAGAATCTGTAAAATGAATAAAAAAGTCATCGAAGTGAAAAGAGTGAATTACGTGTTACTTAATTCTTGATTACTTCTTTTTGCTACGCATAAAATCTTTTCTTATTTTGCTAAAATAAGTGGGAAGCACTTTATTTCCCGCAATATAAAGTTTGAACTGATGATGGAACTATCACAGAATATGAGAGGTGTCATAACTTGGCACGCTTAGTCGACCAAAAATTTTATCTTTTGAGTATGCAATTGAAACAGATTCTGCATATTGTGCTTGAAACCCTTTCAATTTATGAAATTTAGTAATTAATTGCAGTGATGCGCAAAAAACGTGCAATTTTACTGACCGAAAATGATTTCGCCTATCTCTGTAAATCACATCTTCCATTTTTATTACTAGATTGATTATACCCCTGTTAATGGCAAATTTTTGAAAATACTGACTAAATTTTCAGGGAAATGACTACGGTAACTGACCTCAGTAATGTTCTTTGCAATTTGATGCATACTTCTATAACATTCTAATCAAATGGACCTCACAATAACTCGTTGTTATGACCATTTCTGTGCATTTTTTGTTGCGTCTATTCAAAAAAATAATAATGGCAACAATGAAAAATGATGGCATTAAGGACAATGACGAAATGACTTTGCATAGTGACCACAATGTTGGTCAACATTGGAGGCATTTTTGCTATGGTTCATCAGCAAATCCCTGACTGTTCTGAATAATGAAGTAAAAATACTCGTAATTGCATTTTTATGATTAAAAAAGTACCTTTAGTACTGATATTAGTACTGATAATTAATGGTTGTCAACAAATAATGATAATTATTATTATTAATTATTAATCATTGTTATTATATTTTCGCCTTTCACAATCACATTACTATCTTAGTATTCTTTATTTGTTTGAAATATATTGAAACTATTTTTTGGCGAAATCATAAAACAATTCAACTGCTTCTTGACCAAATTGATTCCATTTTTAGATTCACTAGAAAGAAAATCACTTGCAACAGTTGATAATATGCACTTTTTGATTGCAAAAATAAATAATAATTATAGAGTTATTATTGATCAGATATTAGATTAGCAAAGCTTTGGTCAGACTCCTGAAGTCATCATAACAGAGACCCGTGTGTTGACAGATAAACTGATAATATATTCTGACATCTGTGAATACGCTTCCAATCAACTTTACACCATTCATTGCTTCTTGATTTACTGCAAATTTCCGAATGTTTCTGATACTTTTCTGTTAAAATTTTGCATTAGCACTGAGCTAAATTAGACAAAAGTGGAAGAGAACAAATTAATTTGAACGGAAGGAATTCGTTGATTGCTAACTTTTGTTCTGTCTGAAATTACATCAGTCAGTCCTTCAGGCACTTTCGTGAATGCAGGACAGTAGTACATAAATAAGAGCACTATAAAGAGTAACCCAATTTGATTACTACGGTAATCTCATAAAAATGATTGTCCTTCCTTCCAATTTCAGTTCAGTTGAAATTTTAGCTCAAATTAACGAGTCTGTCTAGGGTTCTCTCAATTTTTGCGAACCTTTTCGCTGCTGCATAGTAATATCGATGATATTGCAATCTGTTCCAGCAGAGGCAACTCCAGCAACTGTCCAAGTTTTATTACTATTCTTGAACATCAGTCCTGAGCCACTATCGCCCTGTTTGGAGAATTATGTGCATTAATTTAGTAACTATTTCTAGTTCCTTCCCAGCACTAAATCATGAACTTGATCTTGCATTGAAACCCAGACTTGACATCACTTACCGCGCACATATTCATCTCTGACATTTCCGACGTGCATATCTGATCTGCCTTCACATCACTGCTTAGTTCATCTTTTTCGCAGTCAATTCGTGACACGTTGATTGTCATCAGAGATGTGATTTTTTCCATAATTTTTGCTGTGAATAATTACAGTATCACGTCTGCAGCGCATTTTAATAATATATTTGCAATGCAGTGAAATTTTGAGAAGTGTTGGTAGTTTCAGTGCTTTATAAATTCATTAAAGTTATGATCTGAAGCTAGCAGCACAATTTTTTAACAGTCATAATGAAACAGAACAACAGCAGTATTAATGTTATGAATTTTTATTCTAAGAACTAGTAAAGGTACAAAAATTTTGTGATATTATTATCCTATTATGATCATCAATCTCTAAATCTCAAAAGAATCTCGTGAACATCAGCTTACCACAAAAAAATGTGTATTTTTCATGAAAAAAATCAACAATAATAAAAAATTACAAAAACAAAAAAAATAGTTAATAATTTTACATAACTTTAAATGATTCAATGGCTGCTCACATCTATGTAGTCTGACAGATTGTAACATGTTTAAGCTAGTTTTGGCATTTATAAGCTTTTAAAACTCACTTCATTTCAGTTATTATTTTGTTGGAATTTCATTTTTATTTTAATAATATTTAATTTTCAGACAATTCTCCAAGTTACAGTGACAAAAAAGTAGTGCTTACGATTTGATCCTCGAGAGTAAAGTACGAATTGATTTGGGAGTTGTTCTAGAGGCTTCGCAACACACGCAGCATCTTGTAGTAGTATCTATTGAGAAAATACTGAACAGTAAAAATTACTAATAACACATTAATTTTTGATAAGCTCAGAAAATAAATAATGAAAAAGTAACCATTTTATAATTCACAGTCACAATAGCGATGTCATTATGGAAACAAGGGCTCGAGAGATATTCCTGTGGAATTGATATCTAAAAAAATAAGTTCCATCTACGTGAAATCATTCGTGCTTATCCATTTAGGTAAACAAGTAGCTTACACAAAGCGAATGTACTCACACTTTTCACATGTACCGCTCGAGCCATTTTTTGGAATTTCGCACAAGTTGCCTTAGCGATAGGTAAGCATCCACCACCATAAAATACCTTCCAGTATTCGCTGCTCAAGAAAGTCAGCACAGATCCTCTGAAAATTACCGAAGTATTCTTCAACAATTCTTTTCTTCAGTTCACTGACTTGTTTTGAATGATATTAAAGTCTTAACTGATTGGAAAATGAAATAAATCAGTTGCCGATTTCCTAAAAGTCAGTAAATAATTTGCAGCTTTGGCCATTCAGTATTTTCTAATAGACATTAAATTACTGGGAAAAGATTAAATTAAAAATCATCACAAACAACAGATACGTTTCACAATTTTTAAGAATGAAACAGTGCGCAGCAGTCAGAATGTGTCGATCTGTTATCAGTGTACCCGCGCAATTGGCAGTAACATCTACAAATTGAACTTTTCGATTTATGAAGCTATACTTTATAACTTTCTAGCTTCCTACTAATTGTAAATCATAAATAAGTCTTACTGAATTTTAAAGTCTGGATCAATTCGATTTTTCAAAGTTTTGGGTTTTATATAAAGTAAATAGATCATTAAGTAAATTACCTTTTTCTATTCAGCCCAAATATCTTTCTGGTACTTACATCTTATATAGTGCATATATTTGAAGTTAATTATAACGCTATTTACTTTGTAGGTATGAAATAATGCAAATCTTTTGCTTTAATTGTGAAAGAAAATGTTAGCTAAAATATTGTAGTACAAAGTTTTTTAAAGTCTTGAAGAAATATTTATCAAAGCTATAGTCAGCTTTCCACGCAGTTTTCTGAGTAAAAGGTCAAATTAAACTCAATATTTGTCATATATGAAAAACAGTAAATTTTAGATGTAATTCATACTTGATTCTGTGATAACTTGTTTAACAAATGACGTAAGCACGTACGAGCAAAAATTTACCGTATTTAGAATAGTGCAAATAGATGGAAAACGGAGCTTCATTTTGCTTCACGTTTTCGCCACCCATTAGTGTGATGGATGGTACATTTCGCTCATATTTTGTTGTGGATCGAACAAATCTTTCACGTTCTTCAAAAACTGAAAAATCATTAGACAATTTAGTCTTGAAATCAACTCATTTGTTTTCTATACTTGTTGTGATTTTTCGAATCTCAAAGTTTTCCATTTTAATTCAAAGCATCTGCGTGTGGTCTATACAATGCACGTCAAAATAATTAACGAATACTTATTTAATTTTTCAAATTACCTACTGTTTTGTACGGATGTTTATGGAAGTGTGCAAAAAAATGAAGAGAAGTAGTAAGTTGCCGTGAAATGAATTTTGAATGTGATCGGAAATCGCTAACTTCAAGTCTTAATCGCTCTCGATTAGCAACTTTTTAGGTATCCATTAAAGTAAACAGTCATGTTTCTAATCATCCAACAAATATGCAATAAATTAATTACTATTAGTTCGACATCGATCAAGCAGTGTATTTATTTCTTCTTTGCTTAGCTTTTGCAAGATTTTTTTCGATTCAATCAGATACACTGCCAACAAACAAAGAATCCAGCTACATATGCATGTATAATTTCTAAAAATATGCTGATAATAGCTGAAACCTTTTAATTATCCGTAAATAAACTCAAACTTATGCTATGCATATTAATTAGCGAGAACAATTTGTTAAACATAGTTTTTTTTTAAAATAATAATATTAAAAACTTTGATATCTAAATTCAAAACAGTGACAAGAACGGTTGATCTATCGTACTTTTCAGGAAGTTTATGAATGTCACCAAATCATCAAAATTCGCTAAATTCAAAAAGATCTTAATGAAAATTAAAATACAAATATACCTGAAGGCCATACTAATTAATGAACCGTGGAAAAATTTAGAGAGGGCTAGCAGTTTTATATTTCATATTTTCCTTATTAAAATTTAAATTGAATTCTGCTTCAAAAGAATAATTCACTGATTTTCTATCATAAATTATACATAAATTTGAAAAAGATATCAGAAAGAGAAAAATGTATGAAAGAAATTGCTTTTCAATTCAAGTTTGCATGATGCATGCTTGTTTGCTTTCTGTATTTGCATATTTATTGACAAAATGTGATAAAACAGTTTTCGCACAGTCAAAAAAGCACTTCAGAAAACGAGAAGAAAAGCAGTCGGTGGCATAATTTGATTGAGTTTGAACAAGAAAGATGCACTCTAGAAGGTTATTTCTTAAGAAAATTGATGTTTGAAGATTCTGAAGTTTTTTGGAAACAAATTTACATTTTTAAGGAGAAAATATGATACTTCGGATGAATCTTCGCAAGTTTCTGAACTTTCTGGACAACAAAACAAAAGTGAAGGGCTCTCTTCGAAAGATGACAATAAGCAGTCTAGTCCCAAAATGAATTCTGCTAAATGTATTCGAGGTCGAAGATCACCACAAAATTTAAAAATTGGTAAAAATAATGAAAAAATGACAGTTTGAATTAGGCTGTAAAAAAACTTCTAGTTTGAAATCTGCACAAAAATCTTGCGAAATGAATTTTAAACTTTGTTAGGCAGTCGACCCAAAGTTGTTCCACCGAAATTAAGCGGAGATACAAAATGGCGTTATGTTGGTGTTTGTACCAAAAATGAAGCTGAGTCATATGTGCCTCACTGTACTGAATTTCGGCTATACCATCAATGGAATTCCATGGTAAACTTTGGAAATCTTTTTTACTGTATATAAACCACAAATTTTTACCATATTGCAAATTCAATATTTATGCGAATTTTGCTGAGAGACTGTGAGAAATAGTCTTTTTCGCAGTTGCGGTTTTATTAGAAGTGTTTTTTTACTCCGTTGCTACAAGGAAGGGATTGATTTCTGCAGTATCCAGATGGAAATGGAGTATTTTCATACAAAAAAGTCTCTTTATGGACTGAAGCAGAAATAGCAGTAAATAATTTATAATTATGTGATGCAAATCCTGCTCTCATTTGGAAGAATGTGCAAAATCATTAATGATTTAATGAATTAATTTTTTACTCAAAGCTAAATGTGTTCGCATCAAATTTTCGAATTTTTTTGAATGAAAAACTGTAAAGATTGCCAGAATTCAGGAACCGAAAATACTCCTTTTAAATTTAAAGCTGGTCCTTCCATCTCTACTGCATCATTCAAACTGCAGTGAACGCAAAACCATTAAAAGACCAAATCTGTGCGTGATAATCTGTCCAATAAATAAATTTATCTTACTTGTACCAGTTCCTCATTGCTCTTTATATCTCTTTATTGTTTATTGCAAATGACTTTTCTTTTCAAAATTAATGTTTTCATCACGCCAATAATACTGCAACACTAAAGACGTGAGAACGTAAATGTGTGATAAGTGGTAGTTTAATTTCACTTCCGTATGTAAAATACATTATAATTACTTTTTAATGAATTGAAATGGAAGAATGGCAGGCAGACAAACAACGACGTGTATTTGACATTGCATTACAACCTTCAAACATTAGACTAATTTACTCAAATTTCATGAAAAGATAGCTGCCTGCAAAAAGCTATCGTAAACATGATCACTGATTATTAGAATCAGTTTGAAATATGCTTAAGATTCTTACTGCAAACAGTTTGCAGATGGATTTTGAGAGCATAGATCGTCTTCCACTTACAGTAGTTTACCACGCATCTACTAAAATGTACTTTCATTGGCTTGTACGAACAATGGGTGAACTGATCGAAAACAAGTATGTGCGCGCGATAAACTTTGTTTAATTCATTTTGGCTATAAACTGCCAATATATGTATTGAAGCAGCTTTGACGGATATTAATCAAAGTTTGCATATTTTCTATCAAGTCATCTTTGAACACAGCTATTTTTTTAACTAGTAAACACAATGAATTTTAGAGACAAAAAAGTAAAGGAATTTGTAATCCGAAGTTATTACATCGAACACGGTGGTCCATGCCTCAGTACTCTCGATGCACTCATTAGAAGTTACGAGACTCACACGTACAGTCGCAAAGGTCAAATCGACGTCTTCCACATCCCATGATTGAAATCAAATTCTCTACTCCACAAAATATGCACCATGTTAATCAAAGTCAGCCACTCACACGACTTTTTGCTGAAACCGCTGTTACCACACATGAACTCCACACCCTACTAGTGAATACTTGACGACTAAGGAACTCAGAGCCAACAGGGAATCATTGAAAATCCCAACTACTTGAACAAAAACTTGATTGCGGTGTTGAAGTAAAAATGTAACAACAACAAAAACATTTAGAAATTTTATTCGAATTGAATGGAACGAAAGAAGTCAAGGAAAACAGAACAATCAAAGCGCCACCTCCAGTGCTTACAGTGAGGAAATATTTCTGATTATTTCAAGTATCTTAACAACGACTAAAACAATTTCGATAAAAACTAGATGTTGCACATTGCGCAAGGGACAAATACCAGCCCATTAGAGAGCATTAAAAGATACTATCAACTTTGAAAGTACCAGACTCATACCGGTCCTAAAATTTAGGGTACAATCAAATGAACTTGAACACAGTAACAACTGCCATAAACCATAATAATAACAAAAACATCATATCACGATATTTATCCCATTATTCCGAACACAATTAAAGTAAATTTGCAATATCCATAGGCATTTCTTCAATTTGTGTATTATAAAAGCTTTCTATATCATTCATCATCCGCTTATCAGTATCCGTTATGAAATTTATAGCCACTCCTTTCCTACCGAAACGACCAGAACGACCGATCCTGAGAACAATTCAATAACGGTGCATGGAATACAATACGTATATAGATGAGAATAAAAATAATCATACTCCTACTTGATTTCTTTTCTTTCTTTATATAGATGAGAATAAAAATAATCATACTCCTACTTGATTTCTTACTGCAAAATCCAAAACAAAAATTCACCGATGAATGTAGTTTTCACGATTGCCAGGAAGGTCGTAATTAATGACAAGAGAAACTTGCTGGACATCAATCCCACGTGCTAATAAATCGGTTGTGATGAGAACGCGTGAAGATCCCGAACGAAATTCACGCATAATAATGTCACGATCATTTTGCTCCATATCTCCATGCTTAAAATTTCTAGTAAGGAACAGTGTGATCATAACACTACTACCCGCTTTAAATGATCTTCGGAAAGCAAAGTTTCATTTAAGCTAAATTCGAGCATTTGATTCATTGTCTGTACAAAATGTTGAATTACACTTAAAAATTCTGGAAAGAGCATACTGAAACTTACCATACAGGATACTGTATATTTCTCTTTCATCATTTGAGACGCAAGCGTGTCAACCTTCCGACGTGTGTTACAGAAAATAACAGCCTGAGTAATATTGACTGTAGAATACAAATCACAAAGTGTCTCGAATTTCCATTCCTAAATTGAAATTTCAATGTTGGCATTTATCTATAGAAATATAAATCTGAAATAAACTGACAAAAAAATGTGATGCATTAGTGAATCTTCATAATGTAAAGGGGACTGAGCTCCGAAATGTGCCATACTTCAATCCCACTTGCATATATTATCCAAGCTCCTTTATATGCTTAATTGATTATTGCTGAAACAATTTATGATAAAACGGATTTTAAAGAGCCAAAAAATACTTCTTTCTCGACATATACGTAGAACTGTCGAATGCCCTCAAGAGTAAGTTCTTCTTTTTTCACAAGAATGCGAATGGGATTGTTCATGAACTTACTTGTAACTTCAAGAACTTCTGATGGCATTGTAGCAGAAAGCAACACAACCTAAATGAATGGCTTTATACATTTCAAAAATTAATAAAAACAACTTTAGCTAAACACAAGCTTCAAAGAGTGGACGTAATATTAGTCGCAATAAAATATTAGTAGTAATACCTGCACATCGACAGGCATGCAGCTGAAAGCATGATGGATCTGTTCTTTGAAACCACGAGACAGCATTTCGTCGGCTTCGTCCAACACGAACATTTTTATATGTTTCGTAACTTGAATTTTTATTGTAAAAATTAAACTATAGTATCAGTTGCAAACAAATAAAGTTTTCATGCCTAAAAGCGGTTTTACATGAAACCTACAAGAAAAACAAACGAGTGCAAAGACACTGCCGATAAGGCTGATAATATTTGACAACACTAATCACAAGTGTTAGATATAATTTTTAATTTCTACTTTTAAAACCACTAAAAAAGAGACTTACTGAGACATCCACGTGTAATCATATCATTGACACGGCCAGGAGTACCAACAACAACATGCACTCCAGATTCCAATTTACGCTGATCATCAAGAACATTTGTACCTCCGATGGATGCATGGCATTTAACACCAAGATACTCACCTAAGGACATCACAACCTTTTGAATCTGAAAACTTAAATGGTTGGACGAATACAATTGAGTGAAAAGTAACAATCAATTCGTGATTTCCACAAACAAACTTTTACTCAAATGTAGCAAAGAATATTTGACTTTGTTTTTCATGCAAAAAAAAAAAAGCTAACCAACCTACACTGACCAAAACGAAAATTAAATCACAATTCCTGCTATGTTGTGAACAAAATCATACCACAAGACATGACTATATACCTCATAAACGTAAAACTACAACTCAAGATAGGTATTCAAAAAAAAACGAAAGGTATGTGTCGAGCTCAATTATTAATGCAATTACATCTTTCTCTGTCAGTGAGGGCAAGTTCTATCATCACAGCTCGATCCTGAATTTCCGCAAAAACACTTTCCAGCAATAAAGTTTTATAGAATCCAAAACATATGGATTATAATTTAACGAATTGAAAGACCAACCATCTGTAACATATTTTCTAACCACTTCATTTTTATTCATGCATGATAATACCTGCTGAGCAAGCTCACGAGTAGGTGCCATAATAAGAGCTTGAACTAGTGGAATACTTTCATCGATATTCTGAAGCACTGCTACCGAAAATGTGGCTGTTTTACCTGTTCCAGACTGAGCCTGTGCGATAACATCAAGTTCTGAAGACAAAAAGCAATTTACTTACAAGAATTTTTCCAAAACACCTTGCACTTGAAAAAAGCTTGAAAAACGATTGTTAGTTACGAACAGATAACGGCTATTTTAAATTAATTACCAGACACATGCAGCGGTACTGCAAATCAAATTTTAATAATACTCAACTTATTAATTGAAAAACCTCTTAAAACTACTGATTTGTTCTGTGGTAATTAACCATTAAGAAGATCAAGCAACTCACTTTTAGTACAAGGAATAATAGCACGCTGCTGAATTGCGGACGGTTTTTCGAAACCAAATGCATAAATGCCACGAAGAAGACTCTCCTTCAAACCCATTTCGTCGAAACTTTCACATACGAAATCCCAATTACTCTTTAAAGAATGCCACCATGACTTTCAAAAAATGTATGCATAGACTGTAAAGGAATCTCATTCATCGATATGAATTTCAATATTTATACCTCAATCAGTCCATCAGAATCCAAAGGTGGGTGATTCTGCTCACTACCGTCAGCGACGTCAGCACCATGCTTCTGTTTTTGCCTGAAAACAAATATGATCAATTAATGTGAATACACAAACACTTAGAGCACTAATTTTAAGGATTTTAAATAGTCATATAAAGGAAAACTAAATGCAGGAATCAATAATTTATTTCAACCACAAAACAATGAGCACTTACTGTTGATTGGGGTCAGCCATGACAGTATTAATAAACTGAATAGGACGGATCCGTATCTAGTGTAAAACTATTTTCTGCAAAAACACAAGAATTAAAGGAGCACCAATCAACAATTTGAATGACTACCATGTTACAACAATAAGCTTCTCAGAGCTTGTTGAACAAGCTGTAAGAACCATACATTAGAGAGGAGGAGCATGCAAAACATTCTAGTCATAAAAAACAAATAAATAGTACGAAGCGTATGTCCAAGAATGTGCATTATTTAATGATAGAGAAAAAGCATTTGCACAGATTTTGGAAAATTTTTTGACAAATAAACATGTTATTGCATTGGTGTAGATGTAGGTACATATGTGGAAACGCTCAGACAAGACATATTAACGAATTTAAATGCATGGAAGGAGACAAAAAACTTTTGACAGATGGGCACGGAAAAGCGAAAACTAAATACGTGATGGGGTGAGTATCACATTTTCATATCGAGCGATCAAACACTTGCAAATAGGAAACACAGGTCCATGCATACACGTGCAAAAACTCATGTCACCACACATATACTCTCTGAAGTAATAAAAGTAAAGACAACCTACCACCTGACCTGCGCCTAAAACATTACAATGGATGTTGTGAGCTTAAACAATAAGGTATATGCAATATAATTCGACTTATTATTTAAACTTCGGATGCTAAGGTACCGATGAATAAAATTCGAGCAAGATACAATGATACGTTGGTGGAACCCTATCTACATGCTAAACTGAAGCATTATCAATCTGTTAACGAAGTAGTGGTCTCGAATTTTATATGCGAATTCTGCGTGTTACGTGGAAAGGTTATCTAGTAATCGATGTGAAGTATGCAGTTAGCACGTAAACTTTGCAGTCACATGATTTTTACTTCTTGATAGGATGATATTTGAGTAAGCAGCTTGCTCGCACTGCTTGGCATTGCAAAATAAAGTAGCGGTAATTACTAATAAAATAAATAGGTTTCTCGGAAGATCTAAAGTAATTAGAACTCTCTTTCATTGTAACAAGCCGGAATTAACTCGATTTATCGATTAGAGACTTTTTAGCAAATTTGTTCCGATTCTGAAAACTATTTTTTAAACCGAACGTAGGTCTCGAATGCAACAGGTAATTAAAAGTTGAATTGAGGATATAAAAAGATAGCAGATCAAACTGTTGTGAAGTCAGTATCTGGAGTTACACCTGTTGAGTTAAAGTAGGATGTCAATATGAAAAACGAAAAAGAAGAAACATTTGCTGGTGACGATGCAAAACATTTCTGATTATGGTTTATGGGCTTTTGTGCTACCAATAGCGTTTATACTGTGCACTTACAACTAGTCCTTTTTCATAATTGATCAGGAAATTCATTTGCTTCGTAAAAGTTTGTGGAAGTAAACGCTATAATAGATTGGTCTGTCATAGCGTTTAATTTTATGCATCAGTAATTAGATCCACTTTTTAACAAATAACAGTGACTCCAAAAAAAATCCCAGTTACATAATCGAACGCTTAGGATAAGTCTGCGGCATCATCCTCTAAAATATCTGCAATGAATGCATTGTATAAACTCATGTAAACATAGTTGATCCATTATAGCTGTCATATTTTTGAAAAATGAGGCAACTATTTCAGTTTTTGGGTGTGTTCAGCATTAAATCATTGTCAATTATTTAAACCTCTATCGTAACTGACCTATTATTTCAGAAGTGGATTTGATTGTTCAATGGAAAGTAGCAGTGAACGACTGCACAAAGTTCTTCCATCATCATCGGGTAGTATCGTTAGTAACCAGCAAAATGTTACTATTTATGCTCGAGCGAAACATACATTTAAGGGGCGAAACAATGATGAAGTGAGTTACAAATTATTATTTTTGACTTTTTTTATCGAAATTTTTCACCAATGGTCTACGTCTTTATAGACAATATTTCATTGAAGTCTTGACCATAATTTGGGATACTTTTTCATATCTTAGAAATTTTATATATACCAAAGCAGATTGTATGCCTTTGGACCAGTTTTACTTGAGCTGCAAAGCATAAAACGTCTTTGTAATATCTCAAATAAGGAGCACAAGACTATCCGATTGTTTATAACAAGATAAATTAGTCTGAAAGAAAAAAAAATGCACTTATATTTGTTTTTTACTGCTTTTTATTCTTTTGTTTTTTGTTCAGATTCTAATGAAACAAGTCGCTTGTGAAAAAATTGTGATTCTACATGTATAACAAAAGTGATTGAGTTCATCCGTTATAATTGGCATTGTTTCCCGGATCTTAAGTGCTAGAAGGAGTTGTGTTCATTAATAGAACAATTGCTTGTATGGTTAAAAAAACATAAATTGTATTGAGAAATATATTTTCAGCTTTCTTTTCGGAAAGGTGATGTTATCACTGTAACACAGCAATTAGATGAAGGCTGGTGGGAGGGAACATTACATTCAAATACCGGATGGTTTCCGTCAAATTATGTAATTATTATTCAAGAATCTGGTATTAGTTTTGATATAAATTATTGGAATGATTTGTCCACACTTTTTGTTTAGTCATTTATTGTAAGTTAAAAAAATCGGTTAATAATAACTGAAATGTCATAGAACAGAAGTTATAACTGAATGTTCTAGAAAGATTTTTGCGGTTTCGAAGTAATGGAGTTGTCACCTCAAGTGGACATCTTTCATCTTCTGATGCAATGAAGGAGTCACCATTATTTTCAAGTGATACTAGTCGGCAAGCATATCGAGAACAGGTATAGAAATATTGTGTTCTCCCTAATATTTGATGTTTCCTTCAATATTTAAGTCGTAAGAACTATCTTAAACTCACTTTTAAATTATTTTGTTTTTGTTTCTCTACTTCAAATATTATACTTTGAAAAGTACTTTTTTAAATCTCAAATACTATCAGCGCTGTTGAAAATAAAGATGTCTTAGTAGCTTGAGTTGTGTTGGTTTTGTAAACGTAACCATTTATTAAATGTTGGTGTTATTCAAGGCTTTTTGTGCATTTTTAGGTGATTCAAAGTTTCTTGGAGGCAGAATCACGTTATATTGATGGCATTACTTCATTTAACAACGATACATTAACTAGAATCAGAGATTCAAATAAGTAGTTTTTTCCACCCACTAAAAATGAATTTCTTTGCTTGAATTATTTTGTAAGAAATTCTTGTGTAAAAGTTTTCTAAATCAAATGTGTTGTCCATTAATTTAATTGTATTGATTTCAGAATTTCTGACAAAGAATTTAAAATTCTTGCGGGAAATTTACATATTCTTGTCGTACATCAGCGTGACTTATCAATTGCTATCAGAAATGCGGTTGAAAAGGATTCCTCCAATGCAAGAATCGGTGGTTTACTGTTAAAAGCAGCGCCAAATTTACGGCAGCTTTATAGGCATTACTGTGAAAATCATCCGAAAGCAGTCGATCTTGTACTCAGTAATAAGTAAGTAGTAATAAGTAGTGCGTTAAATATAGAAAGAGTATTGTTTAGTATTTGATTATTATTTCATCAATCCCCTCATACTATCTTTTGTGTTGTCCCTTGGTTGTGAATTTACAATACTCATATTTCAAGTATGTTCAGTACTATTTTTCTATCAAATTATGTGCTTAGATCAGTAATGTTTTTAGAAATTATTACGAAGAAATTCTTAACGATATGAATCTGTTATTAAAAGACCTTATATCTGGATTGAGTCGCCCATTTCGACATTTGGAAACATATCCAAGTGTTCTTAATGAACTGGAACGTGGGATGCACGAAGGTCATCCTGATCGAGGGGATACTCAGCGTGCTGCTGCTGTATTTCGTGATATTGCGGTTTGTTTAAGTTTTTCTTTCAAGAATTGTTACGATGTAATCAATCAGTATCACACAAAGGTTAATTTTTTTTCTGCACTGGATTATATTTCGACATTCTGACTATACCATCTCTGGCTTAATTTTTTTATGCTGGTCCAAGTTGATCCATCATCGTGGAATCTAATCGAATGAGATACTATCGAGCATATCGATTAGATATATGCCTTGATAATCTCCTTCATGTACCATTTATGGAAGTTCGTTATCTTTCTCATTCCAAGCATCACGTACAGAATTATTTTCGTTCTGTATCACATCTCTTACCCGAGTTTATCAGCAAGTACATCATACTTTCGCCTTTTCTCGATATCAACTGCAGTCAACTTGTCCTGAACAGTGATGCCAACTCTGTCGCATGGCTTCCTATCAGAGATCATGATATCCGGTTGATCCGCACTTATTTTTATAGCTGTTATTCACTCTTCGTTTGGTCACCACTCAGCTAAGAGTTGGTCTACATTCTCCGAAATTATTTTTCGCGTTCACTTTGTCTGGTCTGTCTGATGTCCCTCAGCCTCTTGCATCAGTACCAGGTATTTCTGCTTTATGTCCAAATAAACCTTATACTCGTAAAGCGCATTTTGTTCAAAGTAAATGTTATGCTACTCTGACTCTTCTAAGAACCGCTTTTGCAACAAGGAACGACGTGCAATACTCAGTAATCGCAAAATTTGTTTCTTCATTTCCGGGAGAGCAATTGCACACAGAGATATTGCTGTTTGTTTAAGTTTTTCTTTCAAGAATTGTTACGATATAATCAACTTTTCGCAATAGGGGAAACTGCACAATGGTTATCTTCCTCTCAGCATCCTTCATAAGCGATCAAGAACAGTGTTCAGTATTTTGCTTGAATATCTACGATGCAGAACCTCATTCCACGAACGAGTGCTTCGAGCGTAATCATCCTAATTGTATATTCAGGTACATTAGTACAGTGCTCTCTTACGTCTTGCACGGAACTTTCCTCTTCAATCTCATTCATTCTCCCTTTTTTCTATTGTGATTCTATATGCGGTTTTTTCTACTCACTCTCCATTTCCTTGTCATGCATTTTGTATCCTGACTACAAATCAATCGACACACATGTACTTTGAGATTTCTAACTTTTAAACAGTAATATTTTTTTTGTTTTTGCTCTCACCATGTGCATCTTCTGTACTTTACTCCGTCTAATTTTAATCGCATCAGAAGTACCACAACGAGGGGTTGCATGAACATAATCGTCTTTTTTCTTCTTGGAAGGCGCCTCTGAAATGGAGCAGCCACTACATGATCTGGTTAATTGCTGCAATTTTCCGTCCTTCTACTACCATTTTTATCGCTGTTACGTTCTTCTAATTACAATGTTCTTTGGTGCAGATAGCATTGCTTTTGTTCTAGTAGCTGTTTGCATTGATACTGTCGTCATTTATTTGCATAATACTATCATAATGTCTCTGGTAAATTTGTAAAAAAAAGATGTGAATAGAAACTAGAAACAGTAAAAAATAATATATGGGGAGGTCAGACAAAGTACATCCATCCACGATTACCTTCAACTTAGGTAATCAAATCCATATATATACTATGCAAGAAAGTATTCAGAAACTATTAGCTTAACTTAATATTTAGAACTATTGTGGAGCGTTACGAAAGCAGAAAGAAATGCAACTGGAACTACTTTCTTCTGGCTTTATTGATGGTTTATCATCAGATGAATTAAAAAAACTCGGGGATGTTTTATACATGAGCATTGTTTCTGTAGACGATGTAAAAGCTTCTACTGAAGAAGGATTATCTTGCGATCGGTAAATCTTACGTATTTCTCAGTACTAGAAAAAAGTCTTTTTGCATGTAAGAGGAACATGTGTACAAAATATTGTGAAATAAAATTTACTATTCTTGGGATTTACGATCTGATTTTATTTTGGTTCAGGCTATATTTTGTTTCGATTCTACGTTTTATATATGGTTATTTCATTGCAATTCTTATTATATTTTTGAAAAGCAGATATTTAGCATTAAGCTAAATTTCTATCATGTTTTCCGATTGATTTCAGATGTGTCATACTGTTTCCAACAATTATGGTTATTCTAGAAATCACCTCGAACGTAAATTCTTACATTCTGAAGAAGAAAATTTTCCTTGATAAATTAACACTAAAAAAAGCGGAAAATAAAATGACACTTATTCTGTGCAACGGTACTTTTTGAAAAATTTTTTAATATTCTCATTGTACGATAAGAAATATATTAATTACGTAGTCAGTTTTGATTTCAAGTTTTATGGAAAATGCTGTACTAAAGCACATTTAGCTTTGTTACTTTTGATTCAGTTTTGTTTTTCAGAAAGCATCTAAATGCATTCAGTTTGTGCGATTTTGCAATTTTCGATTATGCATTTCTTTTTATTATATTAAAATGAGTGGATTTTGGGATAGTTCGTACCGTATATACAATAAAGCCGTTCGATTCTTATTTGTGTTGAGTTGTGAATTTTTGGTCTATTTATTAAAATGTGTATTTAGTATCAGTAACATTCTTAAGATAATGGTTCATTGGAAATAGCAATGAATTTTTTATCGAATGAAGAACTGCAGAGATGGACCGAAGCTTTTGCTTATTGTACTAATTTAACTATTGATGACTACTGTTGCGAACTTTCACCTTCAGGACCTCAAAAAATTGATCTAAACAGCATATGTAGTATGGTGAGTTGAACATAAGATTTGTATTCTCAAATATTTTTATTAATAAGCTTGGAACAAAAGTAAGAAAATAGGATGCTTACATACTGATCTATATTTTAGAGCTTGATTATCAGGCGTTGAGATGAAATCTGTGTGGGAATTTTCATATTAAAGAGAAAATTGAGTGAAGAAGTTTTGTTTTTAAAACATAGATAAGCTTCATATCACATTACCGCATCTACTTATATCTCTTGAAAACCATTAATAAATGTTGAAAATTCATTCTGATTTCAATGAAATGCATTCATTAGTTTTACAATTGATGTAAACATTGCTTTTATATTGTAATGTAGACAAGAAATAAATAAGGATATCAACTTTTAATGAAATGGAATTAGCCAATTCATTTTTGTAGGAGGGATTCGCATTTTTCTCATCAGTATAATTTTTCAGTGAATAATGCGAGCTTTATTTTATTTTATTTTTTGAGTCTTATTGTTTCGTCTCTCAGTACTTCCAATCCAAACATTTTTGTCTTCGTTTTTAGCTGCCAGAAATACCATAAATTTTGTCTTGCATTTCTCTCGTCTCCTCTACTGTTGGCAAGTAATGCGGTCTGTTTTGACCTGCTCCTACATTTGCAATTAAAATTAGTCTACTTTTGATATGAATCAGAAAGTAATACTCGAATTTAGCTGATATCGGTATATCCTTAATTTCTTTCTTGCCATAAAATTTCGCTAAGAAAAGAAGCAATTGTTTCGTGGATTTCACTCGTTTTTATAAATCAGTTGAGAACTAGTTTAGTTTACTGATACAGAATTTGAAGCAACTTAGGTTTTTGGTTTTCAAACTTTCTGATTAATGGTTCGCAACGACTTTGTGAAATGTATCCTACAATTATGGCTATGAATAAAGAGCGATGTTTGAGGTCAAGATTTTGGTGAATCATCTTTCTGATTCTACTGCAGTTGAGTAGTGATCAGTACACTGGATAAGGTTTGTTAAGTCAAGATAGTTCGTCTCAGCTGGTATGTCATCTGCGGTAATACATCTCATTTGAATGCTAGGAGCCATATTTGATATTTTTAATAAACAGCGTGTTTAATATTAATACGTTTATAGTTTTATTGTCTGCAAATTTAGTTTTTAATATTTTTCCTTATTTAATAGGTGTGAATCAGAGAACTTGGAATTGATGGTGTGTTTATTTCCTTATCATTTCATGTACAACATTATTAGTGATGATGATTACGGATACTTATTGTGATGAATTTGTGATTGATAGTTGTGATTTCGGCGCGTATGCAGGAGCTGAAGCTTGCTAATTTTCAGCTTCAGTCTCAGAACTCAAATGCAGATTAAGGTGGTAGTATAATTAACATAACTGATGCTTTTTCCTTCTCTGTTGTCGTATTAAAAGGTCTTTTTTCATCCTTTTTTTTCTCTTTTTTTTTGAGAAGCTTTCTCAGCTCCATTTGCTTTTTAAATTTCTTGCTTTTTCCTTCTAAACCATCAAAGTTATTTGTTTCTTTGATTTCTTTTTCCCTCTGCATTTCTGTTTCAGTGCAAACAAGAAGATTACTTTTTCAGGATCTGTTTTTTGCATTTTTTCGCTCTTCATATAGGTATTTGAAACTACAGTACTTATTTGTATAATTTGAAATTCAGTACTTTATTATATATATTATATCATTGCTAGTCTTCTGAATACTGCTTTTATTGATAATTTGATTGGGTTGGTCAGAGTAGAGCAGAAATTACTTCTTCATTTGGTCAGGAAATGAGGCCTTCAGTTCTCTTTAAGACTTCACACGTGCATGCAAAATATTCAGTTCATCAATAAGCAAAAACACATATTTAATCAACCCAATTAAAGAGGAATACTTTTAGTGCAAAATTATGAGAAGCGTAGCTAATGAGTGTGGAAGTGGCAATTTTTTCTGATATAGTATGTTGAAGAAAGAAATATTATGCTTAGATAGTTCGAATGCCCAAGTAAATGTTTGGTGCTTCTTGTTTCTCTCACTTAGCACATAACCCATTTGCTTTTGACAGTGTTGATTTTTTTTTCGAATTACTTTTTTCTCATCTATAAATATTGACACATAGTAGAATATTGCTAAAATAATACTTTGTCCAGCACAAGCATCATCTGTCTGCGTTACTTTATCGCGTTGACCCAACGTTCAATGTCGGATGAAGGGTGCACCTCAGAAGCGACATGTTGCCTTAAATGCCTCCAGGTTTCGTGTTTTGCCACCATTCACTCCAATGGATTCATAAACATGTACCATTATTTTATTAGTTCTGGTTTCTCTCTCAAAGCAAGTCCACAAATCTAAATAAATCGTTTGTATTTGAGTAACTAGTAGCAGGATATCTCGACAAGCATACTGTTTTGCCATTTGAATACAGTGAGAAGTACATGAAGCTTGGTATACGATTAAATTAAGAAATGTTCGAACAGCTATCAGCTATCAGCCAGTAAATTAGTTTAGTTTTTCTTCTTAGAGTTGTTTGTATTACTCTTGAGTAATAAAGTCTCACCTCATTAAAATTTGAGACTCGTTTGGAATAGGTTATAATAGTCATAAGTGCTTCCAGGATTTGTGTTGAGGATTTTTCATTAGAGAAACAGGGAAAAAATTGTTTGTATTCCTTTAATGTGCTATATAAGCATGTTGTTCGATACATTTCATTGCAGATGTGGACACTGCTGATTATGTGTAGGTATGTAGGGAGTGTTTCGTTGCAGTATTCATTTCTAGTTTTCCTCTTCATCTTTCTTCAATTTCTATTTCATACTCAAATTATCTTTGCATCTAATTTGTGTCCATTGTTTGAAACGAATGCAGATTTTAGAGGAAAATATGAATTCAGCAACTTGACTCAAAAGTAAAACTCAACAAAACACAAATAACACATCATTAAAATGTCATTTGAGCATATAATTTACAGGTTTCAACTAAATTATAGATGAAGAGTACAGTAGTTTTTTGATACTTAAAAATTTTTAAAAGACGTTGTAGAATTTTTAAACTTTTTCACACTGAATGATAAGCTTCCAGATTTTTTTTCCAGGCAGAAATATCGCCGTTACGTAAAGCAGAAGTTTCTCAACTTCCAGTTGCAGTTAAAGCAGATAATGCTAAGAAAAATGTGTGAGTTCCATCTATGTTTTATTTTAATTTTTTTAGTAATTGATTATTGTTTCTCAAAAAGACATTATTTAGACTTCCGTCAGGATTGCGATTTGATCATAAGTTAGAAATGGTATTGCCTGAAGGGATTAATGAAAACTCCACTTCGAAGGATATTCGTTCAAAACGGATTAAAATGTATTCAGGATATTGTTTACGACCTTTTCCGGCCGCTAGGGGCAATTACGCTGTCGATTATTCGAGAAAAACAAACATAAAATTGCGAAAAGAAGGTTTATGTCTCATCTTGATTTCTTTACAATTTTTAATATTTTATTTTTTAATTTTTATCTCTTCCTTTATAATGTTACAGAATTTTGAAGTAATTTATGTTTTGTTCTGTAGTAGCGTTATATATGGTAAATGTAGCAGAATGAAGTAAACGGAGTTGGAAAAATTATTGTCAACTTATAAATCTACAATTGGAATCGTCTTTTCAGTATCCCAGGGAGATCAAGAGGATGCCTTTCTGCTGCGAATTGTAGAGGGTTATTGCTCAACAACACCGTCATTAAAAGCTATGAGTACTGGAACGCATCCTTTAGCTAATCAAGAATATGACCCACCTCAGTTAATAGTAGCAGAAAATGAAAAATTATTTGTGGAAGAAGTAGTCGGTGATCAAGTTGTTGTAAAGGAGAAGTAAGTTAGAATATATAAAAAAGTTTAAGTTCTGTGTCCAGGGAAAATCCATACAGTAGTCATATTGATGTAATATTTAAAGATAAGCTTTTTTTTTCGCTGTTTGAAAAATTTTTTAAATCAAACAGTTAGTACTGCAATGCATCATGGCACTGTGTACAAAAAAAGTGGTTTTGATATAAATGTGAAATCCTACTCCAAAAATTTCAACTCTTGATTTAAAAAATTTTTCAAACAATTTGTATCTCTTTGCAAACCAAGTCTGATTGTCCTCTTTTAAGTTCTGACATATTCAACTAAAATCAATTCAGGAATTCATTCCCTCAATAAATTCTAGAATAAATGAATGCTTATAGTATTTAAACCTTTAACTCTACTGATCATTCAGCTAACTTTATTTACTTCATTTGTAATCTAAATGCCAATGAAATTTTTTGATCGGAGGATGATTATTAATCATGATCTTTTAATTTTCAGAAGTTTAGTCGATACGGTATATGCGTTGAAAGATCAACTTAGCAGTATACAAAAGGTATGATTACGTTTTTAATGGTCTAAATAATATTAAAGCAAAGCATACACTTATTCCAATAACTCAATAAGGGCGTTCTCTATGGATTTTAAATTTCAGCAGTTACTTCAACTCAGTAAGACGGTGAATCGAGAACAAATAGCACGTCGACGCCTGGAAGAAATGGTGAAGAGATTGTATCAGCTGCAGCAGTCAAATACCACAAATTTGACATCCAAAGTACCTCTGTCATCACATGATTCTTTAAGCATTGGTAGTTCAACTCTGCGTTGATGAGTTTATTTGTAAGGTTTTATGAAAAATTGAAGGAGATTAAATATTATTAAAAACCTGTGGATTATTTTTTTCAATAATATATGTGAGTAACTGGTGAACAGTGCCATCCATTTGTTGAGAAATTAAGTCAACTAAGTTATTAAAAAAGCATTCGCTTAGTTATGGGAATAATGTAGAGTAATATTTTCAAGTTAATTATTGCAAATTGTATCATGAATCACTTTTGGAAAAAATCAAAAGAAAGAATCTGTTTGGAGTTAACCATAGGTCTTATTATGATTTGATCCTGTTTTATTTATCAGTAACAGAACAAATTATTGATGTGTAGTAGAATAATTCTGTTCTTCTTGCACATTTTGTAATTGTTAATATTTTATGGTTGACAAAATTAATAGAGTTTGTCACTGTTTTTTATTTTATTTTTTGACTATTTTATACGAGATAACCAAAATTACTGGTACGATATTCTCTTTAATAATATCGCCTATTTTTCCTTTTAAATAGTATTTATGTTTGAGGCTGTCTCGATTAATTTTAGCATACATGGTCGCTAAGTTATGTCAATATCTTAATATCGTTCTCTTAATAGATTTAAACATGCGGCTTAAAATGTATTATGCTTTTATTTTTTCCGCTTTCCACTCTTGAATTTCATTGCAAGAGTTTCAATTGGAGTGAATAGCAGAAAATTTAAATTAAGAAATTTTTAGGTTATACTTACGTATTTACAAATGATGGTGTTTTTGCTTTTTATAGTTTTAAATGCATATTTATAGTTTGATAGGAACCGGTTTGCCTCAAAAATTACATTCTTTATTCTTTTTTTCAAAAAAAAAGAAAGCAGAATGAAGAATCGTAATTTAGTAAGGAAGTTTGTAAAATTCGTCTGTACTGATGTAGTCAAAATATTTGACTTAACTTATTTTCTCATTGTGGATTGTAGTAGCCTGGCTCTGTTTGCTATTTAAGCTCGACATTGAAAGATGAGGAAATTTGAAGAGGCTTTCTTACAATCTAAAAATGTGACATTTATGTGCTAAAATAATTATTGAATTGAATATGACTGGTGTTATTATACTTGCCTTTGGTGTAGCAAATGTATATTAGACGGGTAATTGAGGAGTTGCTTTTACTTGTTGGAGTATTCGTTTAACTGTGCTCTTTCGTGATTAATCATGTTATACAAATATTATAAATGAGTGCTCACCAATGAACTTTTGTTAGTTATAAGGCAACTTGCAGTCAATGGCTACAGTTTCTGAACAAAAATGTTGACAGCTTCTTGCTATTCTGTTTTTATAGTTTTTAACATACTCTGATTGGGAATTGAAGGAAAAAAAATGAGATGTAAATTCTGTAATTATTTTTTTGCATAAAGTAGATGTAAAGTCACTGATCCGACTTAGAGCACTGAGATATTTTTTTATATTTTTCATACGCTTATACCGCCGGAAGTTGCAGTTATTTGTCTTTCACATCTTCAGATTCATTCATATTTACATTATTATTTGACAGGTATTAAAGTTGGCATTTTTTTCATTATGCGACTTCATTGCAATTGGAAAACGATAGCATTATGTATTTTGTATAGAAATATTTTTATTGAGGGGGATTGGATGTTATCCAGTCCACGGTCGCCAAATGTTTCTATTTTTGATTTGGTTGATTTATTTGTACTGCTTTGGTTTTTTGCTGAGCTTGAATTTAACTTATTATCTATTTTGGTGTGGAGTAGACTTGTCCTGTACAGAAGTTTCAATTGCAATAAATTTTTAGCTTAGCGCAGGATGAAAAATTTTGAGTTCTCTTTGGCAGAAGTTTGGTCCATCTGAACTTAGTGGATCAGACCTTTTGTGGGAACTGCTCTCAGGTTTTTCAGTTCTATTCGAAAGTCAGAGTTTCCAAATTGAAAAGTTTTATATAGCAGGCAGTGCTTAGTGGCTTCCATTTATTTCTCATCTTTGGATTTCGATAATAATATGAAAAGAATTTTGATAATGATACTGTAAGCTAATTTATGAGCTTAATATGGATTGCAATGCATTTCGATCCTAGCCTTGTTTTTATCACAATCTAAAGTGGTTACAAAGGAAGAAATGCAATGAGGTGATTAATATTAGTGCCACACTGGAGGTGTGCCAGTCTTTTCCATTTTCTTGTCTGTTTTTTCGAATTTTGTATAATTATTGCTAAGAATTTTCTCAAATATCATTTAAAAAGAGCGTTTGCATCAATGACTTACGGGAAATATGGCAGGTATTTTTTGTAATCCTTTTTAAAAAATACAATATAGTCTCATTCATCTTCAAAATATTGGATTAAGTAGGAGTACTTGCAAATATGTTTGGAGAACTTTTTGCTTTTGCTATCGTCATTGTCATCAGAGAAATAATATTAGAACGTCTTGCCATTCACGTATTCCTTTTGTGCGAAGAAATTAATGGTTACACGTGTTGTTGTTGCTTTAACGTGTGTCACACATGCTGAAAAGTGTCACATTTGATATCATTTAATTCCATAGTCACTAATGAGTGTTCGTGTACATAGGCTACTAGAATTTATTGAAATCAAATTAAGTAAGCAAAATTTCATAGCCATTTATTTACATATGGGGAAAATTTTTAAGCTCTGCATTTCTTCTGCCTCTTTTATGCTAATTTTCTATACTATTTAAATGAGTATTAAATATGCTACAATAATATAAGATGTCATTTGCTACTCAAGTATTTTATCGCTTGGTAACAAGTATGTTACCAAGTGATAAAATAGCAAATGCTAGAATACTGGTACTTACTCATGTTTACGTAGAATGGTCAACAAGTGACCATCCATTTATGACCATATCTTTGTTGTCTGTTTATGGTGATAAAATTTCAAGGATAGCTGAATTGCAATTCTATTAGCGCTAAAGCCACTTTTAGGTCAAAAAAGTTTTTAACTTACTACGATCGTACACAGAGAGTTTCAATCCGAGATATGAAAACATGTCCAGCTGGTAACAAAAAATCAGCTATTCTTAGAGATTTATTTCCGCCAGAAAGACAAAATATTCTTTACTATAATAGCTTCCAGTTAGCATGATCTCTTTATTTACAAGTAAATTCTGCCTTGAACCTTATTAATAAGTGAGGAAAGAGTAGTTAAAGCGGTCTGTAGGAATTCGAAGTAAATGTGAAATGAAACTGAGACAGCAAGATCTTGGCGTGTATCACTCATTCAGTCAGTCAGTTTCTAATCACAGTCCTTGTGCATCATTAAGCGATTATGGTAGTAGTCAACTAAGTGTTTGTGAAGGATAGCTTGTTTTGCTTCCTTGGCAGAAACGAATCTTTCAAAGGCATCGAATATTTTGTTATCAGCGTGAAATACGTTCATATTTTCAAATAAACTCTTCGTCAGTATCACGAATATACTTATCAGTTCTCCATTATGAACGAATGCATGTTTTCGTCAAATATGTTTTCACTTAAGCACTAATTATTTACCAAATACAACTTGATAAGCAGTGAGATGGACTGATAAATAGATAAACAGATTAGTGAGTAAATGAAGAGTTAATGCATGCAACCTGTTCTACTTCCATATCACTGCAGTGTGAGTATGATACTGCAAAGAAAAGACACTGACTGATTGACTGACTGACTGACTACTGAATGACTGAGTGACTGACTGACTGAGTGTGAGAGAAGTTCGTTGCAGAAAGAAAAAAAGAGTATTATTGTGATGCGCCGAGTTTTCAGTTTGGCGCAACTTGCATTCATTTAATCCACGTCACACCGTGTTGTATCAGTTTGGAAGAATTGCTCGCTTCCTTATTGCTTCTCTCTTTGACTGAATTTTTGTAAATTAGGTAGTAATTAGACAAATTTACTGTATAAAAGTGAAAAAGTAATGGAAAATATCTAGAGAAATAAAGGGAAAGAGAAGGTGCAGAACTGCTCCTTATATAAGGAAAGTTGGTATTTAGCTACTAGTTAAAAAGACGACGTATATTCTTTCACCGCTTAATCACGATGAGCACTCGCTTGTTTGCGCTTCATCGGTTGTTAACAACGGCTGTACTCTTCCATTCAGGGAGTATTGCTAGATCAAGTCAGGTCACACGTGTGCTGCCTATATCTCCTTTTCATCCAAAGATAGTCGTTGCCTTGACAATGGGTCACAGTCGTGCGAACTCATCCCAAATGCCCGGTGCTGATAACAACACCAGTAGTACTATTTGCATTAATTCACTGAATTACCCGCTTGCCCGCAAGGATCAATCTATAGTAGATGATTTCCATGGTGTTAAGGTTTATTCCCTCTTTCTTAATTTAAAAATGAACTTGACTTATTAACAAATTTGCTTGTTCATGATGCCATCTGTCACAAAATTATTTTTAATCAAAATCAGTGAGCTGATTTTCTTGTTTTGTTAGTTCTACTGAAAGATTTTTCTTTGTTAATTTGCTAAAATAGAACTTTTTTAAGTTCATAACGAGCAATGCCCTAGCTGACTAACAAAACTTTCAAATTAATCAATCTATAGTAGATGATTATGAACTATAACAACTGTGCAGACAATATGAATTTTGAGATTTGTCAAAGAACTGAAAAGTCCAAATCTGTACTCCTTTCTGTATTTACTGTGCTATCATTATGAAGACAGATGGCACCAATCTTTTTATTGTTTATTCAAATGCAGATTCTTTTTGGAATTTTATTCTTCGAACAGTTCTGATACACAGCATTTTATATTTTTAATTGAGGCATTTAGGTTGCTGATCCTTATAGATGGCTGGAAGATCCGAACTCAAATGAAACAAAAGATTTTGTTGAGCAGTTGAATTCGATATCAAAACCGTTTATTGCTAGTTCACCATATCGAGAGAAGATTAGCAAAAGGTACAAGTTTCTTTGAAGTTTTACTGAAGAACTGTAAACATTTAAATGGTATGACCAGAATGTAATTAATTTCAGACTGACAGAACTTTGGGATTATGAAAAGTTTAGTTCATATTCCAAAAGAGGCGATTATTACTACCATTATTACAATTCAGGATTGCAGAACCAAAGGTATTTTGCTTAGACGTTCACTGCTTGTAGTTCCCAAAAATTTTAATACCTTATTTTCCAAATTTTAACTTCATGGAGTCCAAGCTTTTGATTCATTACTTCCAGTTTCTTAAATGTTAACAAGTTGTAAGATATCAAATTTTGTGTAATTTGGCTTCAAAATCGCTTTAAGTATAAAAAATCATCAAAAGTCCATTAATTTCAATGAGCACAGTTTCAATCATCTGCTATATGAATTAATTTTAACTGAGAATGTTGAGTATTCTACAGCATTATATATCGGCAAAAAGGTTTGGATGATAGAGCCGAAGTATTTCTTGATCCTAATAAGTTTTCTGAAGATGGCACAACTGCTATAACGCTAGTATCGTTTACTCGTGATGGTTCCATATTAGCTTATGGTATTTCTGAGAAAGGTAGTGACTGGGTTACCTTGAAGGTAAGACTGACCAAATATTGTAACCAAAAATTGGAGCTCTTTTCATTATTATCCACTGTTTAGGTCATTTTTCTTCTGTAGATGTAATCTTTATATCAAGGCAAAATGAGCAAATTATGGAATGGATATACAAAATTTTGCTACCCACAAAATACTCTGAAATTGTCAGTGATAATAAAAAAGCTATCAAGAATCCTCTACTGCAGAATTAGGGGATAAAATAATTTTTTTCAGAGCACTGTTAAGCTGTTTGAAAATTTCTGTTTCACGACTCTAATTTTCGAATCAGTGTAATTAATCTATAATGTTTTTGAATTTTGCATTCATGCTACAGGCGGTTTTTTTGAAGAAATCCTATATTTGAAGAAAGGAGTACGATTAATTCTTCGAAATTTTTATGACATGTGAATCAGCACTTTACGTATTTTTAGTTCAGAAGAGTTGATGGTACTGATCTCACGGACGTGGTAATGGGCGTGAAACACAGTGGCTTAGATTGGTTGATCGATAATAGTGGAGTTTTTTACTCGGTATGTTATTTTGTTATTCCATGACAAACATCATGGTTTCAAGTTCATCTCACAATTATGCATTTATATCGTATTGGTTTACTACTTGTACTGCTGATTTTACTTTGCAAGCATGGTTATCTTGTGTGATTCTTGATATACCTTCAATATTTGTATTTAAAAGTATTTCTAGACATATCCTGAGCATAAAAGTTCACTTGTGGGATCTTCAACAGAAAAACATGAATATCACTCATTATATTATCATAAATTAGGCACACCTCAAAGTGACGATGTATTAGTTGCTGAATTTCGATCTGACTCTAAATATATGTGGTTTGCGTTTTTATTATTTGTGACAACTTTAGATAGATAGTGAATCAGAATTACGAGAATAATTGAAGTTTTAATACTTACAGATAAGAATTAGTTTCTTTATCTCAAGAATAATATCTAAATAAAATCACCTGACTTCGCTTATTGTGGAAATATTCTAGCTATGGTGTGGTATCAAAAGATGGTCGTTATTTATTGGTGGAAGTCAGTCGAGGTACTGACCCTAACAATATGATTTATTATTGTGATATGCAAGAAGCTGGACAGAAAATTACGGGGAAATTAGAACTGAAGACGTTATTCGATAAATTGGATGCGAGATATGAAGTGAGTTCTTCTTTTTAATTTCTGAGATTGTTTTTCAAATGTATTTCGTTTCTTTTGCTTATTAGTCATGTTTAGTGAGTTTAATTGCAGGGTTCAAGGCATTTGAATATTTATGAATAAAGAAATGTTTTGTTCATTAATTTATAAACTTTAATTTTTCTGACTCAATTTGGCGGTTTTTTTTTTCAGTTTGTTGATAATAATGAGGATAAAGCGTTGATTTTGACGAATCATGATGCACCAATGTTCAAATTAATTCGTGTAAAAATGTCTACTGCTAATCAGGGACCTTCAGTATGGGAAACAGTCATTCCAGAAAGTAATAATAAGTTAGAATGGGTGGTGAATATCGGTGGAGATCGTTTACTAGTTTCATATTTAGAAGATGTGAAAGTAAGTATTATGATAGCATAATGGTCTTTCACTTATGAAAAATATTAATTGTTGGAAGTAATTTTCTGAAGATCATATGAAAATGTTAGTCCTGGTGATCTCATCATCATATTCATTGATGAATTATATTGTCAAGAAAATCCAAGTTTTTTAAGACAAATGTTGCAGAACAAACTTTATGTGCATTCGTTGGAAACTGGTGAACGTTTTTATGAAATAATATTAGAAACAGGGACTGTATCAGGAGTTTTTGGTGACAAATATCATACCGAAATATTCATACGTATTGATTCATTTCTCACACCTGGTATTGTCTACTATGCTAACTTCAAGGATAAAAAACCCGAAGATGAAATCGTGCTAAAAGTTAGAATATCTTTATTTTTAGAATGAGTTTCAGTTTATAGTCACTGGTTGTATTTTACTATTAACTGATAATGTAAATGATAAATTACAGCAAGTTCTCTGTTTTAGCAAAATATTTGCAGGAGTATCGCAGAACCGCTATTAAAGGAGTAGATACTAGTAAATTTGCCATGAAGCAAGTGTTTTATGCAAGCAAGGATGCAACGAAAGTAATAATTCAATCGTTGAAAAGTTGATACACGGAATATGAATGATAATATCAAATGCAAGATGTTGCATCGCTTTGCTTGAGAATTAGTTCTTGTTGCAAAACGTTGCAACTACGCTTTTTCTTACTAGGGAAACACGGCTTTCTTGATTTTATAACTAACACACTTTTAAAAGCTATCAAAATTACCCATTACTCAACTATTAGTCATTCGCATTAAAGAAATTTTAGATTAATCTAAAAATCTATTCATATTAGAAATATTATTTTCAGGTGCCAATGTATATTATTCATAACAAAGATCTAGTTTTGGATGGAAATAATCCAGTTTTACTAATAGGATATGGTGGCTTCAACATCGCTCTAATGCCACATTTCTTCGTTTCTCACATTTTATTTTTAGCGAATTTTAAGGGCGTTGTTGCTGTAGCTAATTTACGTGGCGGAAGGTGACTTTGTTTTATGCTTATTATTATATTTTTAAATTTATTAAAGTTTTCGCTTCAGTTTTTCGAAACAGTACGGCAGTTAAAGTCCTAGAGTTACCTAGCTAACATTCTTTGACAAAACAGTTAATATAAAATCATTTTTTCATTATAGTGAATATGGTGCCAAGTGGCATGAAGCTGGGATGCGCGAACAAAAACAAAATGTATTTGACGATTTTATAGCTGCTGCCGAATATCTTATCAATAATAACTATACATCTTCAAATAGGTTAATGTTTTAAATTTATCTGTCTGATTTCTTTTGTGAGAATCTTTTGCAGTAACTTTAAATAAAGAATATGAATCCCAAACAAAATCTATGCTTTTTATCAAAACAGTTCAACTTTTCACATGAACTATTCCGTTGCTTTCTTTAGATATTTCGTTTAAGAGAAAAAGACTATTATTGCAGATTAGCTATTCATGGTAAGTCAAATGGAGGCTTACTAGTCGGTGTTGTTTCTCAGCAGCGTCCTGATCTCTTTGGTGCGGTGTTAAATCAAGTTGGGTAAGTTATTGTATTTTTTAGCCTAAAATCCTTATTAGTTCCGTTGTAGATGCGTAAAGACAGTCTCGTAAATGCTGTAGATTATGAACTAAATTAAGTAAAATTATTGATATTATTTGGCGAAAAATGGTCCATCAAAAATATTTTTTTTGGCATGAGCTGATATTTTTTAACCAAAACTTTGGTTGAAAGATAAAATAGATTCCAAAATAAAGAACAGACTAGAAGTTTTTTGTCTGTGGAAATATAATTTTTTTTATGCTCCGGCTCTTTAATAATAGATTTATTATTGTTGTCATTGTGGTTTCTGTTAGAGAAATCATGGTTTTAGTGTACTTGATATGTTACGATATCACAAATTCACCATAGGAAGTGCTTGGGTACCTGAATATGGTGATCCCGAAGATGAGTTGGATTTCAAATATATTTACAAGTATGTTGTTGATGCTTGGGAGAAGTTTAGCAAAGCGCTTTGGTCATTTCTGTGAAAAGCTAATCTATTTTAAATTTAATGCTTTGTATAATTTGTAATTAAAGTGTTTGTGATAATTATCGAAAATTTACGTTCGACGGAAATTAATACTTTTTGGTGCAATATTTTAGTTACTATTCATATTCATCAAGTTTCCACTACTCACCACGTTCCTGCTTCATTGATTGCAATTAATTATATTCACGTGACAAAACTGTATACTTTTTATAATCGCAGATATTCTCCTCTTCATAATATCGAGATTCCTAATAAAAGCTATCAGTGGCCACCGACGATGCTTTTGACTGCCGATCATGATGACCGTGTGGTGCCATCGCACTCCTTGAAATACATAGCTCGTTTGTATGAAGCCGCGCAAGGATCATCTGGTTTCCAAAAGAATCCGTTAATTATTCGAGTTGATAGCAAAGCAGGCCATGGTGCTGGAAAGCCGACTAGTAAAATTGTAATATTTATTAGTTTTTTTACTTTTCGAGATACTTTTTTTGAATTAAGAAAAAGATCAGTTTAAAGTTGTAACACTGTAAAAATAGATATATAAAACCAGAAAGCTTACAGATTATAAATAATATGACGCTCTTTTACAAATTTAAGTTTCAGATCGCTGAAATTACGGATAAGTATAGTTTCTTGCAGAAAGTCTTGAATTTGGAGTGGCATGACTGAATGCAAGATATGTTGCTTCTGTATTGTTAATGTTCTAAACTATAGTTGCGTATTTAGTTTCTCTACAGTACTTATGTTCCGAAACATTGTAGGTTTTTATAAACAATAAAAAGATTTGCTCGATGATCGCGTTTGTGTAAATTATAGCAATGATACTTAATGGTGCTAATATGCACTCGTTAATGAATTTATCGATTATAAAAAATGTGAAACCTGGGATGAAAATCGATAAAAAGGGCCAAGCGCTGTTTTGGTACTGGGATGTAAATGATAAGATGATTTCGATTCAAGTTTTTGGATCTGGGTTGGAACTGGGGAAGAAGTTGGGTTTAAAAGCGAGGCGGTAATTACTCTTATAGTAGCGGTGCAGAATGAGATTTCGCTTGGATATTGCAATGCGCTACTGCCTATTCGAGTCTTTGCTCGCCAAAAATCTTCCGAGATGCTGAAGAACTTGAATGATTTCTCAGTAGTTATTGCCAAACATTTATTTTCTTTATTCAGTTTCGGCGCTCAAAAGTTGCCCTGGATATCACTTTGAAATTGTTATTTCTAGCACTGAATTTATGTCTCTAACATTGCAGTAAATTTCAGTAAAAGAAATCTACTTAGGAGACATATTTTTGTGACATGTCTTTGTTTGTAACTCACAGCATTTGTCATGATCAGAGTTATATGACAATAACTGAGGTCAAGATTCTGTATGTAAAAAATGTGGTTGTTGATTCGAAAGTCAATTTTTGTGGCTAGAGGTGTGTGAAATTAAAGGTCATAAGAGTTTCGTTGCTGTTTGAGATCATAAAATTTGACCACTAGCACAGTTCTTCAGTTGAAGTAAAGAGTACAGTCTTCACTTGGAAAAAACTACAAAAATAATTCTACGTCAGGAAGAAGTCACAAACTTATTCACCCGCCTGAACTGCAAACAGCAAACAGAGTCTTTCAGCGCTGGACCCTCAGAAGTTTGACTTTATCAATTCCATTCAGAACAAAATTTTAAGAAAGCAAATGTGTAAAGCTAAAATATATTTGTTTATTTGAAATGAAGGAGAAACGCCTTCTCTCTCTTGTAAGTTGCAAAAAAAGTAATACTTTACTTACTTTGAGATGCAATTCTGTGCCATGCATGCACATGCAATAAATGACTGAATAAACAATACAATAATCCTTTGGCCTTCGATCTCAATGCATTCTGCTGCTTGCACCGCACAGCACAGCAATAAGTGATGGTTGAACCAGGCAGCAAGATATACGTTATATTCTATCACAACTCTCTCAATATATTCTGATCGTTGAGAATTTCAACTGCGCTTCTACTGTATAATGTAGTAGATCTGTGATCTCAGATCTGAATAGTAAATTATGCTCACTGCCTTTACTTATTTTTGTAATTAATTTTGTAGTGTTTATCGAAATTTTCATAAAACTGGTCTATTTTCAATAATCAAATGCAATTTTTTCAGACAGTTTAATCACAAATTTTGCATGATGCATTTTTTGATAGTATTTACTGCAATACAGCAGCTTGTGACAGCTTCACCGATTAGAGTCACAAAAAACAAAACTTTTTTTGAAATACCGTTTTCAAAAAGGTTCTATGTAAGTTTACTGCATACCTGTTCGTAAAGTATTACTTTGTAAGTCCTTCCTTTCACGTGCTAATTTTGACAATATCCAATGCGGTTTTTTTCTTTTTGATATGACTATAAAAATAGCATTTCTTTCATTTCGGGAAAAATGATTTTCCTGAAAGCAAGAAAGATTATGATATTCCTGATTTTCCTAAATCAGTCTTTCTAGAGGCTTTCCTGTTTAAGCACAAGATTCAAAAAAAAAAGATGATTTTCGCAGATAGGCAGATATATGTCGGATTCATCTCTTACTGATCAAAGAAGACACATGGATGAGACTGCCATGCGTATGACGAGTTCATCTGAGATTTATCAAGGTACGGATGACTATAAAGACCTGTCCAAGGAGTTATTTAAGGCAAAATCGCATCATAATATTAAAAGTGCTTCGACCGAGCGATTTTTAATTGATTCTTATGGAGATCACAATTGGCGTTCTTCGGAATCTTCCCTGATTTCTAAAAAAGATCAATGTGCTCACACAGTAGCTGAAGTGCCACCTGCCGTTCAAGCACAAACTGCTGTCTTGGCTCAAGCAGAGGTAAGCACACTCACGTATGCTTTCTCTAGCAATGTATCGTCAATAGTTTAAAGTTTCTTTGCTTTGCAGCTAATAAAAGCTGAACTGCATTTCTGTGAAAGGAAAATAAGAGTATATAAGACTTCTACTGGAATTGAAATTACAGAAACCAAATTGAATAATGACGCAAAAATAATTCTCATAAATTGTTGTCTAAAATAATATGTTCAGAATGGATACGAATGGACAAATTAAAAGAATAAAGTAAATATTTTACTAATTACTTTCATTTGAGTAACTTTTCAATATTTGCAAATGAGTTGTGTCCCTTCTCAAGAAATGCTCGAAACTTAAGTAATGTCCTCACTACTTAAATTTTGAGCATTTCTTGAGCATTAAAAAATATTTGCTTTTATTTATTGTTGGAGAATTGTCTACACGTAATGAGGGCTGAAAATCATCATACTTCAGAGACGTAGTGATCAAAAGAAACAGCTGATACCCTTGAAGTTGGAGAAAGATGCAACTTCGATCGGTTACAAGACTGATTGTGGCCTAAGTCATTTGTATCGAAGATGCAAAAATGTTGTGCTGAAGAAGAGACACAAAAAATTCTGAAGACAAAAATCGGCCTTGTGAACGAGCACGTTTGTCTTGATCGAGATGACTGATCCAAGATACTTGCTTCTTTGCAATCAACGCATACTTATATTGTTTCCAAGCAAAATTAGTCGTTATTTTTTGATTGATAACTGATAAAAAAGATTATTTATATTTGCTGGGAGTAGAAACTTGTGCTGTGCTACGAATTCTTTCAATGTTTTATCTTTCACATATTGCCCTCACTTCAAGCCAAATAATTTTAACAAAAAGACAAAAATAAATAAGCTATTCAATACGCAACTAAGTAATCATTGCATACGAAGAAAAATTTATTCTATCAAATATGCGATTATGTAAAATTTTTTGCCAAATTAACACAAAATCCTCAGATTAATATTCTACGCATTATCAAATGCTAAAAAATTTGACAACATTTGCTGATAATTATTTTAATTTAACCTGCTGATAACAAATAGTATTCAAATATATTCTGAACGAATCTCAAACATACTGCACTTTGCTGTGAATATTCACCTTGAAATAAATGCATAATTATATCAAATGTGATCAGCTAACACTTTGCTCTCTTGCAAATGTCAGTAAAATTTAGCCAGCGAAAACAAATGTTTGTTTGACTTTCTTTCGAGCTGACATACAGCAACCTTGGAGCAGTATATTAAAGATTTGGCATCTAATCGCGTTTTGCACATTCTAAAAGTCGACTATCACAATATCATTGCAAAGTGCACTAATTAAATTATATTGTTATGGCAGATACAGTGCAAAAATAAGCGTTAAAAGTAACATCTGTTTTATTTTGCAACTCAAACTGTCATATTATTTCTGATTAAAAGTGCTTGCCCCTATTAAATTAAGTGAACAGATATCTGCTTTGATTAAAGGAAATGTGATTAATAAATTGTTTGAAATTTTCCACTTTTCTTACTTTGAATCCATCAAACTTTTGTGGAAAATAATTGTCATTAAGAAGTCAAAAGGTATGATTGAACACAATAGAGAAGACTTGCGTCTGATGTTAGAAGTATAAATGCAAAGTCATTTTAGTGGAAGCGCACAAATAAAACTCATGTCAGTCGACTATGTATAATCTTAACTTGTATAATCGTTTAAATGCATCCCGTATCACTCATTCATAAAGATCTTTTCTGCAAACTCCAAAACTAGCAAAAAAATAAAAGTTAAGATATTCATTGATAACATAGAGAAATCATGGTGTATTACATTTTTTAAACAAATATAACCTGCAACTTATCAGTGCTTGTCAAAAATTATTAAGACTAGAATTGGATAACATAGTAATGATAAGAAGTGATTGAGGTTTATGAATTGAGTATTTTTTCAAGGTAGACATCTCTTTCACTAAGTGTCCCAAATGAAGGGATTAATTTTACCATCTCCGTCATACATTTTACATGATCCTGAAAAGCACTTATACTTCACTAGTCTGTCTGCTTTGAATCAAACTAATTAGAACAGTACGTAAAATTTATGCATAAAAAATCAGCAAATTTTTCAAATAAAAAAGACAAAAACTAAATTTACTAAGAAAATACTGAATTCAGTTTTAATTGTCTGCAATCGAAATTTGTGACTAGAATCGAAATTGGGAATTCAAATTAAAAACTTGCATTCAAAGGAGAAAGTAGAAGTAAAACGTTGCCCAATCGTGTGTCAACCGCTTTGAAATTCTGATCGAAATACCAGCGATGTAATTCATTTACTGCTCGATCACTTGCCAATCTGGTAATGTTTTTGGTTTCTAGTGAAAGACTTAGTTCACTTGGGTTCCAAAACATTATCAGACGTAAAGCCATCATCTCGCCTTTACAGTACACAATTTTTTGCTAATTTCTTACCAATGTAATGACATAATGAAGGATATATATCAAAGCTCGAACTATTATCATATATATATATATAAATGATAATAGTTCGAGCTTTGATTGTTTTGTTAAAAAAATATTCAGTATTTGCTTGCACGCTAGCTGTTTTGGTGAGTACTAACTTTTTCATTCTTAAACTGAAAAAATATTAGTTAAGCTATTTAATTCAGCTAAGGAAAGTTTTACTCACACTTTCTCAAATAAGAAACACATTGCACTAACAACTAATTTAATTCTCCAAATTTTAATCTTCTTTTCTGGGCTTGTCGTAACGTTTTTATAAGTAACGTACTTACAAAAATATCCTGACAAAGTTGCTTTCATTCTTTTTTGTCAATTAAACATGCCACAAAAAAGTCACAAATATGATTAAGGGACTGATTAAATTTTTTGCTTCTCTAAAGGCTTATTTATTATTACTTAAACTAGTAATGAAACAGCTTACCAATGGTAAAATTCATACTAATCATTGGAGCGATCAGTTCATCAATGAGCTGAACACTTTTTTGACCATACATGCTGAATTTGGCATTGTAATGAACCAAATTTTGTCAATATAATGCTGGAACTAGCGTTAAAAAAATACACACACGCAGAACTAAGCAATTTCATCAGACTTCAGAAGAAATTCGGATTAATACTGTTATATTCACAACTTTGCAACACACTTCGTTGGTGCTAAGCTAACCTCGTTGAATATAATGTTGGGATGAGCAGATTCACAGGGCAAGGTTTCTTCAAAGTTGCATACACAAAGTATATCAAAATTTGGAAGTGGGAATAAAAGAGTATGACAAATATGCAAATGTGAAGTAATTGCTTACATGTCTTTGAGAGTCCTGCTATTTTCATTGTCATCACAAACAATGTCCGGTGCTTGTCCAGGGGATATGAATGTGTTATTCACAAGCACTATGCGATCAGAAATACCTAATTCAACAGCATGAAATACATTGTCCAGAAGCATGTATCGCAGTGCAAAACTTTGCAGCATTTTTGACTTATCACAGGGATTTTCGATAGCACTAAAATGCAAACTACACAATACATTTCTCAGTTTTTCTTTGCTAGATTCTTTTATTTACAAAACGACATATAATATGTGCTCTAAACTATGAATGTTACAATATTTAATTCTTTATCTCATTGAACGCATCTTAAATTTGAATATATTCATTATTTGTGTAGAAATATATTTGACTATTTACTTACACGAGATGAAAACCTTTTCTCACAAATCTAATTTATATACTGATAAACAGACACTAAAGATTATGCTCATGATTAAGCTATGCAAAAGCGATGACTTCCAATAATTTATCAAGCTTACTTAAACTCTTCAAGTCTTAGCAGCCATTCATACATCAGAACTACTTGAACTTTAAATATATCGATGTAATCAACTTCGGAAGCCGGTCGCTTCAAAACGCTCTCCAAATCGTCTATCAGAATTTCTTCTACACTCTGACACAACATCATTCTTCGCCGTACACGCTAAAAGCTGCCATTTCAATGCAATTTATCAACATATCACTATTAATGCAAGCATATTTCCATTTGCTAAATAACAATATTAGTTATGCAAATTATTAAAAACTGTTGTATCATTAATAATTATTAGACATGCTAGGACTAAAGAAAAAATCTTTGGCTTCGTTCTTGCAACATGTAGAATCGACTAATTGCTGCTTGAGTCTTGAATATTTTTTGTGCCATCTGAATTCTTCTTTCTTAAGCTCGCTCGACATTTTTGATGGCACTTGAAGTGGCAATCATTTTATCATAAATTTGCCTTTTCAGTCAAACATTTTGAATTTATTTATTTATTGGTAACTGTCTAAAAGTGCCCAGCAAAAAGTCGTTTGCATGGTTTTGCTTCTAATCATAAAGCCATTAAAATTAATGCAAAACTGCCTGTCTTTTGTAATCGTCCACTAATCGAGCAATCAGACCTTTCTCGTACGGTACTGCCGGACTTACACTTCCACTGCAATTTGATGTCGATGAAAGTTCACTTTTCTGAAATTCAAACTTCGTTGTACCTTCATTTTTGTGGAAAATTACAACAAGAAGTGAAATACTTTAGCTATAAGTAAGACTTCACTGATATGAACATCCTTTGTGCACCATAAAAGCATCTTTCCTTAGCTTGTTACTAGGATAAATGTTATATATTAACTATTCAGTTTACACATTAGTTTACACTTAATATTCCTTATTCTGGTAAATTTCTTTGATGTTATTGCTGAAAGTCGTAACAGTATGAAACTTTTTAAAATAAAATTTCATGTCAGCTCTACCATAACCCATAAAGATGACGAAGGACTTTTGACTGCGCGTTTGATCAGATTCAGTGGCTGTTCTTCAGAAGTGCCTTTTGCTGATGATGCATTTCGATTGTTTGAATATTGGCGCTTGAACTGTACAGCTACAACGAATTTCCAGTACGAAAAAAAAGAAGTAGTAATTGCAAATCATGCAAGCTGTAACTGATTGGTGGACATTTTTTCAGAAGAATACATAATTTTGCATACTTCATTACCAGCAAAATGTGAGAACCATAAGAAAAGTGCGTAATTTAGCAGTGGTAGTAGAGGTACACCAATACATTGAATTATGCATCGAAATGTCCTAATTTTTAACAATATGCAAGATTTACATCTGTTAATTATCATCTACTAGTTGTCATGACAGACTATCGGATGGGCATGAATGTTTGATAATTTGATAATTATCCGATTGGTGCATACTAATCAGCATGTGACCTTTTTTCTTTATATCAACTGCTTTTCGATCTGTTAATGAAGAAAAGAATGAATTCGTCATATATATTAATGTATCCATAACTTTAACTTCTTCATTTTTGATAAATCAGTTTGTATTTAAGCATGAAAAATTTATACGATCACGTAAGACTTTTGATCAAAATATTTTGCATCAAATTTTTTCATAAATTTTATTTCAAAAGTCACTTCTGGAACTTGCTTGCTGGAATGTAAAGTGTAAGCAAGTATTTTTTGAAGCAAAACCACAATTTGATGCTTATTCTGAATACATCTTGGCAAATAGTCAAGGAAATAAATGTGAATGATTTGGTTTCTTCCACAACAACCAAATGAAATGGTTACCGAGACGAAATGGTAGTATTTAGAGACAAAAAACTGCAAGAGAGCTCAAAGTATTTACCTAATTGGCGGCATTAAATCATTCAAGTTGTAAAAGTTTTTGCAAAAAGTTCTTTAGCAGAAATCACTGACTGATTGAAAGTAACTGTAATTCCTTAAAGTTATCAGACTTCATAGTCATTTATTACGAGAACCGATAGTGAATGAATTAAGTGAAATTATCACTTTCACTCTGATTAAAGTAGTAATAGTGGAAAATGACCTCTGAATTACGATGAAAGTATCGTCCTCTGTACTTCTGATTCTTGTAAAGTTATAAGGATTCCGCTCTTAAGCACCGAATACTGTTACATATAAATTCAAAAAATAATTTTGTGCTAACATCTTTTTTGCTTGATTCAAAACGATATTTGGTTAAAATCAAACCTTCGCGATCCATCCCCATTTGTTCGCACTTCTTTAGACGGCATGCTCTGCAAGCACATCGAGAATCTGTAAGTTTTGTTATACGTATTTGTGAATCACTCAGTTCTAAATTTGTAGACATCCCCAAAATTGCAATTAATGAGGACTGTGAGGAAGCTCACAAAAATTGAGATGATGATTAAATCTAGTGTTAATATGTTATTCGATCAACAGAGATCAAACTCATTAACTATTACATTCCAATGACCATACACTGAAAACTGATAGTATTTTTAAATTTTATTACTGGATATTATTTTTATAAATTCACTACTGATTGTAAATGTAACCTTAATTTATGATGCCTATGAATTTTCATTTATTTCAAATATAGATGACACCTTATTGAGCAGCAGTTCATAATTACTATTACACTTTTATTAAATTTAATATATAGTCAAGTAACTGTGTGGCTGAGCAAAAAATAATTCTAACAAAGAAATGATATGATATCAAGAGACAAACTTTTGTCCACATGACATACTCCTCCTCTACGACAGTGGAAACGCATGTCAAGGGTCACGGCACGTCGAAAGAATGCATTACAACCACGACATGATAAGACACCATAATGATAGCCATCTGCGACATCCCCGCAAATGCTGCATTCTTCTAAACATTTATTGTAATATTACTATCGACTGACATTAGAGTAATCTTTCATAAAGTAAAGTTTGATATTTTCTTCACAAATGTAATTAATTAGGTGGAACTGATAAAAAGTAACTTTCATTAATCTCTTTTTTTCTCACAAATGCAACGCAGTGTCTCGGCTCAATTTAGAATTCAAGAGCATCTCATATTTCCCAGAAAATTAGAGTTTTTTAATAAAATTAATGCATTGTTAAGGTTATTCTTTTTCACTGGCAGTTCTGCAAATAATCTTGTAGAAATCTGAAGGCATGCTATATTTCAACTGAGTTTACAGAAGCTCAAGTAATCTTTTAAAATTATCGACGGCAAATTCTTTTGGCGTCAGTAATTTGAATAAATTTCTAAAACGGAAAGAAATAGAAATCTGATGTAAAATCTTACAGGTTCCGTACATTACATGTTGTGCAAATTTTTCTGAAGATTTTTAAAAAAGTCGTCAATAGATTGTGATTTGCTTCGTTCTATTAGATTAGAAAATGTAAAGGCTTTGATAAGGAAATGATTTATTTGATAACTGTTGTTATCAAATAATAAGAAACAACCAAATAAACCGTATAAAAGGTTATTACTTTGGGACGATTGTTGAGTTCAGTAAACAGTGCACAAAGTTTACACTTTGATGTGTTTTGATATTTTGTGAGATTTCTGCGTGACACAACGTAAACTATTAACAGAGATGGCAGTTAGTATTTTCTGATGCAATTGACAATACAATCTTAAAAGCAAGAAGACATTTGAGTTTGACTTATTCTCGGTATTACTTCAGTGTTTTTAGACGAAATTAGTGTTTATTTGATTTGCTTGCCCATAATTTGGTCTTTCTTCTACAGCACAACTAACTTAGAGCAAAATGCCGAAGGGCAAAGATGTAACGAATGTTGGCACTGAAAAAAGTATTGAGAACTAACTTTGCCTTCAATTTTTCCGATTTCAAAAAATAAAAATAAGTGGTTGCGATTTGACAAATGAATCTGCCATACAACACAAACGCAAAAAAAGACTGAAAGAAAACAAAAATTGCATTTTTCAAGCATTAGTTCAAAAGTTAATTTTTGACAATAATAGTAGAATTGATGCAACATTTGATAGTAAATTATTTGGACATGAAGTAGTCAGAGATGGCAATGTCATTGCTGACTGAAGAACAGTACTGCTGTGTTGATTAAGCAAGTGAGTTGTTTCTGATAATAACTGAAAAAGAAGAAAAGCGACTATAATATATTAAGAACTTACCAAGCCTGACTAAACTTTCCAAAACGTCCGTCATAATTAAGTAACTAAGTAAGCAAATGAATGAATAAATACTAAATAAATGTTATCATAGTGTAAAATCAGTGAGACATTCCAAATGATCAGCAGTATTGATAATAAAGTTAAATGATAAGCAACAGCAATTCCGAGTTGAATATTTTGGAACCGTAAAAGATAAGAAAAAATAAAAGTTTGGCAGAAAAGTTTTGGCGAGAAAAGGTGGAGCAAATAAGCAAGTGAGTAAATAAGAGTAAGTAATTAAATAAGTAAGCAGGTGGCGTAGTGATAGTAGTAGAAGGATTTCGGTCAGTTGATTGTTGGCAAGTACATTACACGTCCATCACGTTGAAAAGTCGACCAAAAGTAAGCTTTCAAGCACAATAATGACTGAAGCCCTTCACTTTGGTTCCTCCTAAAACAGGCAAAAAAACTTTATTTTTCTTTTCAATATCAGTCTTATCACAATTGTCGTTATTGTCATTACTGTTTCGCACTGTGCATGAATAGAAACAGACGAGTAGAATGCATTTATTAGTGCAAACAAACAAGTACGAAAATGTACACAAATAATTGTGAGAGTGTTTTTGGTTTAAATTTTATTGCTATTTAGTGAGTGAACAAATAAGTGCAGTATACTTGCGTGACTGAAAAAGCATCAGAAATACGTAAAATCAAAAAAAATCACTCTGAGTTTTTGCTTAATTATCAACAAAAATGATTAGTAAAGTCATTTTGCTGTGCATTACTGTTTAATTTATTTGACTTCATGAAAATAGCTTAAAATTTGAAAATCATCGTTTGAAGTGCATTGTATATCAAATGTAATCTATTCATGGCTGATAAAATTTGATCGGGTACATACATTGTTTGATCACGTAATGGTCAAGAAACTAACGTGAATAACAGCATTATAAATTGAAACATTCACTGCAGTGAAGGGTCCATTATGCAAACAGGTAAGATATTAATTCAAAAAATACCCGAAAATGAGTCAAAATTATAACAATGAAGTTTAAAACATGAGGGAAAAACTGCTTTTCCTGAATCTCAGCGAGCAACCAAAATAGCACAACAGTCAATTGAGTCTGATTGATGATCAGCAAGTGATCAATAGATGGGATTTAAGACACGTCTTATCAAAGTTTAGCATCAAATGCTTTTACCAGAACATTCTTCGTAAATGTTATTTTTTCACGGTTCATTGTATTGAGAATGATAACATCACTCTTGCAATTCTGCAATTTCAGGACTTCTCTGTCATCCTTTGCTTTTGTGCCAAGTAAAAAGCGAAATGTGGGTTCAGATTGCTAGCTCGGTGAATATAAAAACCAGCCTTTATCTACTATTTCAATTTCCATTTCAATTCTTAGTCTAAGTGAAAATGAAGTCAAAAAGCAAAATGATTCATAGAGGAATAACTGCTTTGCTCTCTATAAAATGAAGCAGGCAGAAAAACTATCACCGAAATAACGCAAGTAAAAACTATGTGAAAACCGCGAGATCTTATTTTGTCTGGTCAGCCAGTTTTATGTCTAAAATATGCTAATGAATTCGTTTAAACATGTTTGCTTCAGTATTTCCATCTTATTTCACTTTCATAATTTTATGAATTTTGAAAACAAAGGAAAAGTTTTCAGGCTTTCCTATGAAATATTATATATCGTAAGAGAGGCAAATAATTAACTTGAATGATTTCAGAATTGACTACTAATCGTTCTTTCTATCTAGTCAATCGAAAATTTAGAAGGTAATTAATTCACACACAAAAGTCTTCAATAATTCTTCACAGTTTCTAACTTGTTTGATTAAGTGGCCGTGTTGAACTGCGCTATGCGCTCTCTCTTCTTTTTGTCGAAGCAGCAATCTCAACTTCAGGCAAGTGGAGTGAGTGAACGAATGCTACGCTTGCAATCGTAGCTGCGCGCATAGAAGATGCGAAAATCGGAGATGAAACTGTGGCGAATTAATAAAAAGAAAATTCATCAGACTTTTTTGTTCCTAAAGCTATTAATTTAGAAAAAATAATTTGGTACAAAAACAAGCACGATTTATATATGTACGGAACCACTACTTTCATTTTCAATTTCATGATAATCAAATATTAGAGAGGGGTAGCTAAGGTCACGTGTGATACACGATTTTCAAAGGACACAGGACAATTTTAAGCAAGCTGTTACTTCTTGTATAATCTAATAATTCAAGCAAATGTGCTTGAAATGAGGAGATGAATATTTCAAAAATTCGGAAAATCCCTGCTGCATTACAATTTACATTCAATTGCAAAGTTTACTCCCAGACTCTAGTCACTACTAATTCAAAAATATATATGAGAAAACATATTGATTTTCTTGTGATTTGCACCTGATTAATTTATGTGAAATAAATTCAAAAGAGTTCAAAAGTGCTGCAAAAACCCATGGATTAAACCATTTGGGTCTAAATCAATCATGTATCAAATTCAATTTTATGCCGCACTTATTGATCACCTGAATTAATTCTATTTATAACTAAAGTATTACTCTCGTAGCGCTAGCTCTAACGCGTTTATTACAAAAAAAAATTCAATAAGTCTAAATAGCATCTCACGAAATCCTCCTCGCAAAATGGTTACTTTCAAAGGTGAAGATTTTTAAATTACGAACAAAATGCAATACACAGATTTGTGTCTGCGACTATTATCAGATCTTGTACTGCTGAAAAAAAGCCACTTCAGTAGTTGATTAGCTTCACTGCTCACTTCAAAACATACACACTTGATGAATTATAAGTGCAGAACCGATGCAAGTGCTTTCTTAACACACTTACTTTCGCTTATTTAAAAAAGTTTGACTTATTTCGAAGGGAAAAATATTAAAAGGCTTGCAAAGGTTTTTCACTCAATCAAACGACATTCATCGATTTGTGGATTGAAGAACCGTGGGAAGTTCACGCAGAAAATCAACTCACTTCAGGTGAGAAAGCAGCGAACAGAAAAGGATGCCAAGTTTGCTGAGTTTTCCTTCTCGTTTGAGAATCTTTAAGGATGAAGAATAGGCATGACTATTTGCATAATGTAAAGTGAGGTATTAATTTCTAAAGATAGTGCAGCACTAATCCCTGAAGGCTTTGATATAGACCCTTTTCTTGACTATAAGCCTTTATTTTCATCACAAATAGGCCACATAGCACTTAGTGATCTATTCAATGCCAACTTGGACTCTAAAAACTAAACTAAAGAAGTTTTCAAAAATTATAAACTTCCAGCTTAATTAACGAATCAACAAGCAAAATTACTGCATACTCATTTATGCTAAATCAAAATCAAATGAACAACTTTGAAGAAATTAGATTTTCGAAAGTAAACTTCAACAGAAAGAGTTCAAAAAACTGAAGACTTAACAAGAAGACAATGCTAGAATGAGTACTTAAATTCAAAATATCAAATTCTTCGACCACAGATACACGCATTAATCTGATCATTTCGCACTGAATTTTGCTTGTTGATTCAATGAGGGCTATTTTATATATAATAAAATCATATCCAGTAATTAAAAAGTACTGTTTAACATCGCAAGACATTTCAACTCTATTTCCTGATTTAACCATTCCATTCTTGGTTGATCGCAACAGAACTACAGGTGTCCCTTATGATTGAAAATGTTTAAACTCACTCACAACTTGAGAAGCTTCTCTACTATGATATACTTAACTTTGGTAGTATTGTCTCGGGACTAATTTATGAAAACGGCTATTGTTCTCCGCTTATATTTGTCTAATATAAACAAAAAATGATGACCATTTTCAGATCAAAAAAATTGAAATAAAAACAAAAGTTAAAGGATTAACTGCACAGACGATTCTACTTTGTGCAACTTACGTCGGAATCAAAAACAACACAAGCATAGACGAAAAACCCACAATAGGCTTCCTGAATACGTTTATCTTTTTTAACTTCATCACGTCGACATACTTTTGGACTTTTTCGGCCATAAACTTAATCCTCTTCTTTCGCAAAGATCGTGACGTCATCCACAAACATACAATAATTCGTTATCGGCAGTCTCTGATCACCTTTGGATACTTCATATTAAGCCGACCCTCAACGAGTTCCATGTACAAGACAAATAGCAGCAAAAAAGAAATAGCACCTTCAAGAATACTGGTTGTATTTCTAACTCCAGTTTCTCTATTGCTTCTCAGTACAACTATTTATCTGAATATAAATATCATGTCCGGCAGCTCAGTGGTTAATCTTGTGTTCAGCACTAGTTCTGCTAACTTCAGTAAACTGATCGAGTGCTTTTCCATATCCCTCGCACAGTTTTCTTCCACAATATCACATGTTTCTCATTTTTTCACTCATGACTCCAGGCTCGGTTTCTTCCACTTATCCTCCATTTACTGCTTTCTGACCGATCAGCTAGCAACTTATCAGCTCGGCAACACTCTCGATATATATACCATGCTACTGATCATAGATCACACAACCATCAATCTTTCAAATAAAAATCAAAACAAAAGTCTTTTTTCTTTAATTCTTATTCCTACAAAACAAATAAATAAATGAATCACATAATCGAAGATCTTGTTAAAATAAATAATTTGTACAAAACACTTCATCTAAAACACAATGTATATAAGGCACTCAAAAAGGGACCTGGACAACACCGTCGTATACTCATACAATAACATCCTAAAATCTGGCGATTATTCAAATTCGACAAATGTGTCTTTAGTGATATTGCGAGAGCATAAATGAATTTCACGGTCGAATGACAAATTAGAAGTTTTCTGAATCACTCTGATGTCTTTTCCTGAAGTGCCAAGATTTACAAAATAAAAATTCTTTCAAAGAATAAAACATGGAAAAGCTTTTAAAAAATTTTAAAAACTTCCAAAAAAGATTGATAGGGCAATGAAATTATTTTATTTAATAAATAACAGTGACTTTAAGATATCTAATATAGGCAATCTAAAACTAAATTAGAGAGTTCAACAGAATCTGACAAGATATAATTTTTGTCATATTAGTAAAATAAACTCACAAATTTTGCTGTATTCGCACACATTTTGGACACGGAATCCCATTTTTTCGTCTATTGCTACCACATTTTTGATGACTTAAAGAGCCACAGTCTTCACATCGATCCACATATTCGACTTGAAATGGAAATAGCAGATCTTCTTTTTGATCGCATAGCTCACAGACAAACGCTTGAGCACGACAATGCTAAAAATTGAAGAATTCAACATCATCAACAATGATCCTGTACAAAATGATAAAACTAACCTCGCACCCCTCAATGTGGTACTGTCCAAAGCGAACAACTGGAGAAATAACTCGAAAAAGTTCGCCTTTTCGAACATTTTCTAAATCTTCTATTGAATACACATCTGCATCTGATAGCATATATTTTGGCACTGTCGAGAATATAGCATACAAACTAAAAGAGTCAATATCTAAATTCGAGTAATGCCTTACTATTATTACGCAAAGAGAATTCACAAGTTTAAAGCAGCAGCATCTGAGCACTATTTTCGAATAATTGATGGATAAAAAATACAAAAACAATTGAATGCAAATTTTGATAGAAAAAATTTAAAAATTACTTTCCGTGCTCTGTAATTGTTTCTTCCGCAATATTACAAAGTCTTATGTAGGACCAAATATGCACAAGCTTTATCCGTAATTCTCTAATCTTTTTCATGCGACAAACTTTGTTATAAAAACGAGAATCAATAGCTGATGCATTGATTACTGGCTGCTGACGGTTATCCAGCAAGAAACGATAGGCAATATCACAAACGGGATATTCCCTTTCAAATACAAGTAACTGTCAAAGTATATTTAATAGTCATTGTCACCGAATTAGGTAAAAGTATCAATTTTCATATCAGATTAAAACAGAGAAATCTAGAATAGAAAACTGATAAATATACTTGAAATTCCACTGGAAAATAATGCGAGCTGGAATACGACTTCTAGCTCCCTGATGACATCGCTGACAAAATACTCTGCCGTAATAGTCACAATATCGCATACGGCGACTGAACATCTTAGCAACTTTTATGCCACATCCACCACAATGATATTGCTGTTGTTCAAAAAGGCTGCTCACACTGAACACGATTACACTTGAAAACCAGTTATGAACTTAATATGTATTTTGGTACTAAAGTTATTAAAGTAATTGAACTATAACTTTGATGAATGATGCTTCTGGCTCAATACCTGGAAGTTGGTGAAAGTTATGAAACCTTTTCAATTGTGGATGAAGTTTAAAAATCCACTGCTTTCTAGGGGGTGCCCAATTAGTTGAACCACGAAGAAAAATGGGTCGGCCATCATCTCCCAGCTCATCCGCAAAAACTATGATGTCATTTGGCACTGGAAGCAGCTAGAAAAGTTACGGAGTAGACATTTTTGTGAAATAGAGAAAACTTTCCTTTTTTGAAGTAGACAATAAAATATAATTCTATAAACATGTCAATTACGAAATTTGTACTTTTTGAGGTGCCTCTGCATAAGATACAAGCAACTGTGCATCAGCAGCTGACCGTGGTTTATAAGATTTTGAAAACTGTTTAAGAAGATTAGATGCAATTACTTCCGCAGAATTTTCATAATCATTATCATCATCTGGCCCATTAGTTTTGTGTGGCCTATGAAATAATATAAGTTAATTGATCACCTAATACTTGATAAACCAGTGCACAATGAAAGCCTTCTGCTCTGAAAAACCCAAACAATACAATCTTTGAAAAAATCAAGAATATATGCTTACAATGCTTCACTTTGGCTAGTCATAATATCGTTCGAAGAAGCATAAAATACAGCCGAAGCAACATGACTTTTTTCGAGAGCTTGTTTAGAACTGAGAACGTCTTTTTTTGAAGAAGTTGATAATGTTGGACAGGAACTTGTCTTAAAAATTTTTATTTTCAAAAAACCTTCCTAAAACTGAACAGTGAATTTCTGAAAGGCTTACAAAAATTATACTAATTAATTTGAGGCAAACAGGCCAGGATTTTCAAATATAAATTTAATGGAAAAAAACAAGACATAAAAAATAAAACTATACAAAACCTGATTTCTTAATATGATATAAACTACTAATCGACTCAAATAACCCACAGTTTGAGGTGATGCGGAAGAATTTTGTTCAGAACCAATCATATTACGCCACTGCATTTGTTCCATGACAGCAATCAGCATCTCACTAACATACAAGTGCATATTTTCCTGCATCTAGCCGCAAATGATCTTCTGCATGAACTCAGTATGCCGTTAATAATGACTAAGGCAATAACTTGAAACTTGGAAAAACTTTCACCCCTCAAGTGTATAATTTAAGTGAGCTGCGTAAAGAAAACCTTTAAAAACCCAAAACTTTGTTCACATCAAATAATATCAGAAACATTTTCGTCAGGTTTTTTAAATGGCAAAATGTGGTTAAAAGTTACGCGTTCTACATCTTTAGAGATTTCTAAATCGAGTTTACGTGATTCGATTAAAAAACGTTTCGCATCATCCCAACTTTCTCCCATGCGATCATCTGAAGTACCAAGATGCAAATGAGATCCCAACATTCCTTCAGAATCCTGGTGAAAGAGACATTAATGCAATAATGCAATACCAAGTGATAGGAATTAAAAAACTTCCAAATTTCTACTATTTTTTATTCATTAACACCAATAATATGAATAAGAAATAGCTAATTATAAGTGCTTATAGCCTTTGAACCCTAACGCTTTTATTAAAAGTCTAGCACAATTTTCTCAGGACGGATTAAGGATAAAACACGAGGTGAAAAAAATAAGAATATACTAACCGGGAAAAAGTCAGTGAAGGTGCTAGAATAATAAGCAGGTTCTGAATAGGATCTTCGTCGGCTTGTCATACCTTGAGTTAATTTTTCTCTCGTGGAACTTCTTTCAACAACTTTATCAGAAATACAATATTCAACTGGATCTTCGTGACGTGAAGCCATTGTGTGACGTCGCTGAAACGTACCTCCAGCCATGCTGATTCTATACACTAATCCTAAAAAGATCCACTCGTAAACTTATTATCGTGTTTTTTATACCCTTATCTGATACATAATATAAAAATAGCGAACCTCAATTCAGCGAATCTAACAAATGAATGACTATTCATTTCTAAGCTTATTACTGTCAGCACATAATAAGAGCACATCAATAACGAATGAGCTATCCACATCAAAAGTTATTCTACTATTAGGTGAGGGGGCATTAATAAAAGTTGTGGCCTGCTGCACTGCTAATTTTGCTTCTTGTCGTTTCTATAATTTTTATCTGGATTGCTAGCTCTATCATAATATTAGCTGAGAATTAAATTTTATTAGGCTTTGTCTAAAATTCATTATTTAATTCCTGAGGTTATTTATGAAGTTAACCAAAATAAATACGTAATTCGCAATTTTACGTTATTAAATGTTTCTTAATGCTTATAGATTGAAATCTTCGATCATCTTTAGCATTTTAATTGTTTCACTATCAGATGCAGTACATTTCTTATATAGATTTTGTTAGAGAAGTTTCGGACATCTTTTTGTTTAGCAGTGTGCTTAAGTTTTTTGGATCACATTTTTGTGCATAAAAGTTTTTTGTAAATTTTTGGTGAAAATTAAGTAGTTATTTCACCATTAGTAGCTATATATAAACCGGAAAAAAAGAATTTTCAGGCGTTTCTCATGTCAGTGCTTAAGCAGTTCCTTGACTCTTTCCAGAAACAGGTTACAGAGCTTCCTGATGTCGAGTTAGCTGATCTCGCTGAGGGTATTTTTTGTAATTTTGCGTATGATAACTCTTAGCTGAAACAGAGTTGTTTTAACAAAATTTTATCTCTGTTTCTGGTATTTATATTACTGTATGTTAGATTACTTTTAGATTTCAGAAAGTATTAATGTGTTGTTTTGATTATTAAAATCAGCTTTGATGACTTTACTGCTGGTGTTTATCTGGCATTATTTTGAACTTTCGTTTTTAGATTCAACGGCTGCATGGGCAAGGAAAGAAACAGAAAAAAATGATTTTATGCAGGTAGTTTTGATCGCTTTAACCCATAAATTTTAAATAGAAGTCATTTTTGCTTTGGAATATTTCACGGTTGCATCTGATTTATTGAAGTAATTAATGAACTGATATTTCAATTTATCGAGGTCACTTGATTTTTAGTAATGCTCTGCCGCTTTCGGTTATAGGTGTAGTTGTAAAAAGTGCTGTAAAATTTTGTTTTTCAGTAATATAAAGTTCAGAAAAGTTGTGTCTATCAAACAAGTTACATACATTAGTAAATTGAAATATCTTTATTTTCGCGGTTACATCTGATTTGATGTTTTTATGACGCTGGATTCTCAGTTTATATGATCAAATTTGATTTTATTGTTTTTGTCCTTGTAATCTTTGGCATTTTCATGCGCGAAAATAATCTGAATTTTCATTCCATTTTCATCCTGAAATTAGGATTGAGAAAGTGACTATGCACCATTTATTTTTAGGAAGAATTCTTGAAGCGGGTATTAGTTGCACCAGAAGACGTAAATGATCCGCGCTATTCAGGTCGGAAAGTATCATCGAAAGCAGTCTTTGATGATCCTGGCATATCTAATTTAGCACGCTTAAAATCTAATAACGAGGCTCATATTGATGAAAATTTAGGTTAGATTTTTTTTCAGCAGCCAAAAGCATTAAAAAAATCGTACTCGATAGGAAGTTGTCTTTTCTATTTTTCACATTAGCGAGCATGATTAAAACATGATTAAATTTCATTTCAAATATTTTTTGTTATTCCTTCTGTGTGACTATTATTTTTCGCAACATATTGTGCTATCAGATGATTCTCAAGCCGATTCTGTGGTGAATGAAGATGACAGTGGCAGTGATGAGATTGATGATACTTCAAGTCAAAGATCGGGATTTGATGATAATGATCAAGAAAGTAGAGGTTGGTACCGAAACGTTCATAAATGATGATAAATTATAGTTCTTAGTTTTAAATTATTATTTTGATCAAATTTGATATCTGAGAAAAATATCATAAAATATAGAAAAATAGTTATGAAAAAACTAAATTTTGCACTAATGACCAGTACTTTTATCACTGAAAAAGCATATTTTGTGAATACCTGATTTCTGAGAATATGAAACAACAATTAAGTATATTAAATAGATGAAGACAATCAGAAAACTGAAATAGAGGGACGAAATGATGCGGATAAAAATTTGACAACCATTTCAAGTGACACTTCGCGTCAGAAAGGTTTTTTTTGTTTTCGAAAAAAAAACAAAAAAATGTTTACGGTTTCGTACTATCAGAAAGTAATGTTGGCTTGAGTCGTCACTTTTATTTAGAAAAGAAATCACTTAATAATCATCCAAAAATTGCATAAATTTGTAACCCCCGTATAATTTGATCCAGACAGAGTATATAGTATTATTTATGCTCTGAAAAATATAAACTGCTTATTTTATATGATTTTGGCATGAAATTGAGCCTTGTGTTGCAGCTGAAAGTATACAGAATCAATTAATTATTTGGGATAAACTAATGCAGTTGCATATTCTATCACATGCAGCATTAAGAGCTTTTAATCAGCTTCCAAGAAAGGAGCTTGCAAAACAGTTACAAATGTCAGCTGATGAGGACGTCATGAAGAATTATAAAACCAGTCTGTTACGATTTTTTCTTTTTTTTCTGTTTGGATCCATTATTTAAAAATATCGGTTTTTCGGAATATCTGCAGTCTGTCTTTTAAATTATTAGTATAGGAGTTGACATGGGAAGAAAAATGGTTTAGAAAATGTTTAGGTTGAAAGTTTAAAATGGTTCAGAGTTTTTTCATAAACGAAACATTGTACCGGAGCGCTTATTTGCAGTGCGAAAAAATGTGCTACAATTAAATCAGCTATTTATTTCAATGGAAGACAATTTGCTGAAATCTTCCAAGCATACAAAGGCTCTAGTTGCTGATAACGATGATGTCGAAAGTAATTTTTTTTTAATTTGCGTTCTCTAGATGCGAGATTTTTTCCTTCCATTGCAATTAAATATTTTGGAATTGTTTATGAGCAACACTGTTTTCAGAATCTGATGATTCCGTAGATGAAGAAATCGAAAGCTCAACAGATAACGAAGAAGAAAATAGTCTTGTAAAATTGGATGATAAAGTAGATGAAGAAGAAACCGATACTTCATTGTCAGAGGAAAGGTAACGTTTTTTTTGTTCAACAGTTTTAAAGTTCTACTAAATAGATTTTTGTATAGTACAGTGTAAAACAAGATGAGCTATCTCTTGTAATCAAACTTTTATCTTTTACAGCACTACTACTCGTGATATTAAAGTTGGGAGCTCAAAGAAACAAATATCACGAAAAAGAAGGAAATCAATGCCGTTCTTAATAAAAGAATATGCTAAAAGACATCAGCGATTTGAGCCATTTCGGTAGGCTACTTTATGTGATATCTATTATTTTCAACGTATGATCTTATTTTCTTTCAGGTCGTCCGTTCTATCAAAATGGGACGAAAGAACGACATTAAGTGCTGCTGCTTCTGAAAAAAACAAAAAGACAGATTTTAGTGGTTTTGAGTCCGCTGTGTTGAAACAAATAGAACAGGTGAAACATTGCTCGAAAATAAGTTTTGCATTCAGTACATTTTAAATGTCCCCTTTCTACAGATAATGAGTGAAAAACATCGGCTGATTCGTAGAACTCAGATGAAGCGGCATGATGTTGATAGAATGGGAAGTACCGAGGATGTAAGCATTTAACTTTTTGGTTTGTTCAACTGTATCTAATTAAGAAAGCCTTTGTAAATAAGTATTTTTGAAGCTCAGTTGCATCTAATAAGTTGCGTGCAATGATTTCAGAGCAGTTATGATGTAGAAATTTTTGATGACGATGATTTCTACCAGCAACTTTTGAAAGAACTCATTGAAAAAAAGACAGCTAGTGTGATTGATCCTATTGAAATGAGCAGGCAAGATTAATGATGAATAAACGTATGAAAACAATGTTGTAAGACCTTGAAACTTTTAATATTTGTGAGTCAACAATTTTTCCAACAAGCAGATCATGCAAGTATATTCAGTTGCATTTAAGGCAATGGCTTGAGATACAGAAATTGCGTCAAAAACGCTCGAAAAGAAAGAAAGTTGATACAAAAGCATCGAAGGGTCGAAAAATACGATATGTCGCGATCCCGAAACTAGTCAATTTCTTTCCTTCGATGGCAGAAAGTGCTAAGTGGAGTCACGAAATGAGGAACCAATTATTCAAATCATTATTCACCTCATGATAGCTAATATTCTAATCATATAATTTGATTAAACTCTTTGTTCTAGACTTCACATTCATGTTTTTTCTTCCCATTGTAGGCGTACTCTCAAACAACGTAACCATAGTGATAAAGTCTTAAGAAGAAAAGGAGCTACACTTATTTAAAAACAAAAGAAATTTTTTGTTTTTTCAGTAAACTTACCTTTGAAAGTAGCATTCATCATAAGATTATAAAACTTATTTGAAATAAATCAATTCTCGCAGCACAAATATCAATACTTGTTTTCCTACAATGCATGTCTAAATTTTTTTCAAGAAAAAACTGTTTCTGAAGTGAATTTACATTAGACTTTAATTAATACTTTCATGAAATTCTGAATCATAGACAATACACCCTTCTAGTAGCGGTAGATTAATAGATAACTTTGAAATTAATGACACGATCAGTTATTCTGTGTCCAAGGTTTTACATGAAATTTAAAAGTTGGGTGTTGTCAAAGATACAAAATGTTATTTCAACAATTACAGTCTAAAATTTTGGGGTTCAGGTAGTGATTTATGAAGGTTGATTTGATGCACTTTGAAAACCGTTTAAAAATTGTATTTTATTGCGCAGCCGTAATATGAGTTGATCATCAACGGATTCTACTAAGAAGCAAGAGACTGACATTTCCTATAAGGATAAAAAATGAAAAATCTGACGAAATATATGCGAAGCGTTAATCTATATTCTCGGAAAATTATACATAAAAGGTTTACACCAGCACATACAATTAAGTGGACAGTTCGACAAAAATAGCCGTATGAATATGGGTTCCTGCAGTCTTAAGTCCCATACAATCGCTCATATTATTTAAATTAGCTTGAGATGTCCAGTGTAGATAGCTTGTATGCACACAACAAGGTATTTCTATACTTGCCAGAAATTTCCGACAGTAACAGATGTCAAGGCAGAAATTAATTGGCACGTAAAACCCATTATAGTAAGAGTAATGACAATGCAAAAGAAGATAAAATTGCAATGTAAGAATTAGTATCAAGATTACTCGCTGCCAAAGATCTTCTACGTAGATCTGAAACAATGTCATTTTCTCAAAAATAACGAGATCTCCAGCGCTCTAAATTTAATTGATTGATAAAATGCAATTATTATTGCCTTCTTTCTTAAATACTTTATAGTGCATGCAATACTGAATACTTGGAATTCAGTTCCTTCAGCGTTCATACTCATACAAATTAGAAAACTTGAGCGATTTGTAGAATTAGGTTTGTAAATTAATTGATTAGGAGGTACCTGTTCCGTCTTTTTTAGATGATGGTTGTATGGAATCAGCAATTTTCTTGAATACTCCTGACAAAGCAGATACATATTTACGTTCAGCAAAAAGTTGTTGTTGTTCCGCAACTGCTGCTTCAAAATTGCTTCGTGCTGAAAAAGTATGCTCCAATCAAGATGCAATTTGATGGAGAATTCACAACTTTACTTCAAATTTGTCCGATGATATGCTTTTGACAATTAATTTAAAGCGCTTTTTTTATAACCACAACACACAATATTAATTAAGATGACAAGCTGACATAAACGCGCTGACAATTCAAACTGCTAAAGCTGACGGAGCGATTTTTAATTGCTGATTTCTCTCACAACTTTTAGAAATTATAAATACAAAAGACAGACTTATTCCTGCTTGTTCTTCCGCTGCATAATATAAACGGTGGTCATCAGCTGATAGAACAAACACAACTGATCTTTGACACTGACCATCTACGTCCCACTGTTTATTAATTTGTTCGGCCAACTGTTCATTAGCCTAAAAAAATAGTTACAATTTTTAGGTACTTTGGTTTATTCATGTACATTTTCCTAAAATGTTTAGTTTCATGTATAGTATTTTGAAGTTTTGAGTGAGTTCGATAAGAGCACAATAATTTGCTAACATGTAAACGCATAAAGCTATAGGAATATCAATTAGTTTATTCTTGAATAAAGATTTGAACTTTCGTAGATCAATTTTTTTTACGAAGAAATGAAAAAATAATAGGGAAATCAAAAAATAAAGGTTAATTACTAAAAGATGAAGGAAATAAAAAGCGGTGAGATATCGGTCCTAATGCCATCAAAAAATGACGCAAGGCAACTTTAATATTCAAAAATCCAAGGAATACTTGAACTTCGTGAAATCTAGTAATCATCACATTTTATTTTAGCAATTAAATCAAAGTTCATAAGTAAATGTTAACGAAAAAAATAAATAATATCCAATGGTCAAACTATTATAAACAAAAAGTTCACATTAAACTTTCAAAAAATTATTTGCACAATTTATAGTTACATCCATTGGCTCCTATTTTAAATGACCTGCTTTAAGATTAATAAAGTTGCATCGATGCCTTTTGTGGAACAAAAATCACTGCTCTGTTCAGTCGATGTTCGTCGAGATAATTGTAATAAATCATTATTTAGCCTATATCTTTCTTGTTCAGTTAGTACCTGAAATCAACGGATTTGTATTCTAAGCTGAAAAAACTCTAAATACTTAAAACGGAATATTATATAAGAGAGAATTTTAGAATATATCTCAAAACGATGACGCAGTTAATTGTAGTGGATCACAATTGAGATTTTATTAGAAATAATCGAAAAATCGTCTTCTGAAATATTACAAGATAAGAACCAAAAGGTTTGTTTATAACAGTTCAGAGCTGCGATTATTTGTGGACATCTAAGAAAAATTAATGAAACTGATTTAGAAATAAGCTCATTTCTGTTCTTGAAATTTAACATGCAATACAATAAGCAAAGAAAGGTCACTGCCTGTACGGATTACTGTCTCCATGAAAAGACAAAAGACAGCGCATTCTCAAGTCCAGAAATAAGACTTGAAAAATAAGTAATTCTCCGATTAATCTTCCCTGTGATAATTTAACATATCTAATAAAAATGGATAGTAATTAACCTTATCCAAATCACATACATATCCTTTGGATTTCAAGCCACAAGCCTTGTAACCATTGGTTCGCGGATTTGGAAAATTTTCTAGAGCTTGTTGAGCAAAAGAAAATTGGATGAATATAGATAATAGAATTCGCCACATCCTGAAAAAAATATGTACTTGATTGCTTATTAAAGTATCACATTCCGTATCTCACAAACATAAAGTTAATACTGTATGTGAGTTTTACAAGGCACGCCATTACAAATGAACTCTGATAAATATTAAAATCTTGGCAATGCAAACTCAATGATTCACAGCTTTTGGCGATGGACTGTTGCCTATTTTATTTGATCAAAAAATCAATAAGATGTAAATACATCGAAGCCATATCACTTACATCTACTTCCACAGATGATTCTAAAGTAATATTAGTGTATGCCTTTGTTATGAAAACTCTCGATGATTCTCAAACGCTCAATCACTGCTAATAGCTCCATGAATTCACATCATTCTGAGCATAATCAGCAAGCGAGACGTTGAATAAATAACAAGCAAAAAACTGCTCTAATTGTGTTATAATTTAAAATTAAAACTTTAGGCGATAAGTTAGTAAAAATGTGGCGTGGAAATATTAAGAGTAAGTTGAGAAGTTTTGCAATGTTTCTGATAAACAAACTCGATTATCTCTCAGTGTCAAAAAGACTATATTATTTCTCATTTCTGTCTAATAAAATATTAGAAAAAATGCAGCTCAAGAAAAGAGAACATAATTGTACTGCTTGTATGCAAGAGACAGCCTCAGTAATTTCAGGTCTTTCAAGCGCCATTCCAGGCCATCGGTACTCTAAAATGTTGGGGGAGTTGATAGGGCAAAGGGCAGATATGCTTACTTATATCAAGTCTGGCAAATTTGTAGTCGACGAAGTTGTTGCATTGAGTGTATTGAAAAAACAGAATAATAAGTGATGGAAAGTTGTTGCTCTCATTCACTCACTCAGCTGGAGAGAATGTTCCTTGCATGAGTGAACTGAATGCACTGCACTCCCTTCAATCAGCGAAAACATGCCAATCTGTAATACCGAACTGATCGATCAATAAAAAATAAATCATTAAACCAGAAGAAAAACTACCATAAATAAATGATCAGCGTTGAAATTTAGGAATGATGCGAAAAATTAACCACAATTCATTCAAAAACTCACTTCGAATTAGAACTCGTTTTCTATCTCGCAGACTCTACTCCGAAGAAACAAAAGGTGGAACCAATTTTAGCAGAAGTGAAGCCAACAAGCTTCAGTTTGTTCACTCTCGTAGTCTACAGAATAACACAGTCTCTGTCAAACTAAGCAAACTTTGCTCTAATTGAGTGATTCATGCAAATGACACATTCAGTTTCAATAAACGCTGTGTGGTGCGCATGAATGGGCATCAGTTTTTCGCTTCTGATAAATAAATTCCTATCGAACCCTAGAATGCTGACCTGATCGATGTAAAACGCAACAAATGAACTCGACTTTGGTGCAAGTTTACTCAGCTCAAATGACCTTACCAACGAGTATCAGAAGTTACTCGGAGTACGACTGTCAAAAATGTGGAATGCACAGAACTTTCAAACATTTTAGTGAATGAATTGTGCAAATGAATACACGCACTTCACAATGTAATTCTGCCTGTATAAGAGGAGAAATTCATTCCACTCGCATTTACTTTATATAGATACGCATATTGCATGCATTCAGTTCAGACTTCACAGACGTATGCATACACAATTGACAGAGAGTGACGAACACACATTAGACGCTCAGAATCGTAAATCCCACTCATCTAGAAGTATTAAATAATAATTAATTAATCTTTTAGTTTTACTGAAAGCTATTTGTGGTTAATTTTGCTGTGTGCTCAGAAGAAATGTACAATTTTAAAGAAGATAACGTTCGATGGAGATTACGTCCCCAGTAGCATATTATTCTGAATCAGTGAGTTTAAAACATTTCCTGTAAGCAATTTGAATTGGAGAATGTTTTGTTGTGTAGCAGAATATACAAAGAGCATTTATGTTTTGATGTTTACAATTATTTACTGACAACTTTTGCTTTCAGCTTTGCAAACTCGTAACTGAAACAAGACGGAATCTCTGTTTTAACGAAAATACACACTGCTTCCTCATGGAACTTTCACAGTCAATTCATCTTCTAATACTAGTCATTTTTTACAATGCACAATCACAGCTTGTAAGAAAATAGTGGTGAAGTAAATGGAAATTAGCACATCCACTACAATATGCATTGTACAACAAGCACGTAAAACAATTTTAGCACGTAAAGGAATCTTAGCACGTTTCTACGTCAGACGTATTGATGATATGCTAAAACATTTGTTTTAAATACAAACGACAAGTCTGACAGCATATATGAATTATGACAAATATGAAAGCAGTCCATAAAAATGAATTTATAATTGCTTTGAACCTGAAGGAACCAATTTCATTTTTTATGATGCAAAGCAGCTGTTTTCAAATTCGCGCGCATCATATTTTTAAGAATAGTTCAAGGATTGAGCCAGACGAAATATTATTTTAGGCAGATTCAAATTTTTCTAAGCATAAATATTAATATATAAAGCAAATTAAACAAGTATTTATCACAACGTACCAAGCAGTAATCAAAAGAAGACCAAAGTATGAACGTCCCTCGCCGATCAATGATGGAAAATTCTGAAATCCTACAAATTCTGAATGATAAACGAATGAATAGATACATCCGACCTCATCCAACCAAATTAAATCAGCATGAACAGCGTGTCACGCCAAATACTTTTCATTCTAGTAATAAATGCAATGCATAACTCTGCAGCATAAATTATACTTCAACGTGACCTCTAATTAAAGTTATGTCTGTATTGCTTTGTTGCGTATGACAGAAATGTAAATAAAAACATGTGGTAATACTTATCATTTACATACTGCAATGAACAGCATATGTACAGTTCTCCTGTTATAACTCTGATCTGTGAGGTCTGAGTGATACGTATGCAACGCCAGAGGTCACATTTCTTGCACAGGGCAATGCAGTTAGACGTGACATCCTCAACTCGCATACAACCACACTCTCTTCCATAATACAACTGCACACAATAAATATACACTACAGTAATACCAATGGATCAATAAATATCACAAGTATTTCCTCGATATAATTACAAAGAGTAAGAGTTGCTTTGGCAGTCAGAAAACGTGACTCGTCCAAGCAGAGAGAGACATAGCTCATCGTCAGTGTTCAGTGTTTGTCTCGGTGGTCGGTTGGTGGTTATTTGGTTGCAGTAGGATTTGCGTGTGATGGGTAGACTTGACTTGCATGGGTGGTTACATTCCTAATTAATTAATGTAGCTCCATCTTCAAGGCTTTCTTCTACACTAATCGTACTAATTGTTTGGTTATGTATGCATAATTTCTCATTATTTACTCAGTAGTATAATATTAATATAAGTGACTTCTTTGTGTTGAATTCAGTCTGATGAGTTTCATCGGACAGAAGTAGTCTGTCTCTCCAGTGCATCTCTCCTTCGTTGCCTTAGCTAACTCTCTTAAGATTGCTTACGACGTTATCAGTTCATTACTGTCGGTCAGTATCAGTAGTTCATCGTAAGTATTATTGGGCGAGAACAAATCCGAATATTTTTGCTTCAATAATGACTAGATTTTCTGTCAAACTTTTGTTTTCCACCCATTGCGTGTTAAAGTTATTCTCAGACGTAGATAAGGCTTGTGCGGATTTACTTAGAACTCGCTAAAGCCTTCTTGACATACGAACTCTTACATTGCATATAAAATTACATAAAGCAAGCTGCTTCACCCTTTGTACGGCATTCCCTGTAACGTGAAATAGCTTGATATCGCTTCATATTCACGATTCAGTTTATTGCAGATTACAAACCTGGCAGTTGTCGGAAGTCAGTGTTCGTGATTTATCAATAATATTTGTTCAATTTCGACACAAAAATGGTAACTTCTTGCTTAGTTCATTCAATGTTCATGAAGTTAGTTACAAAATTACACAATAGAAAAGAAAATTGATCTTTTGTGAAAATCAGAAACTTTAGATATAACTTTGAGTGTGTAATGAGATACGTTTATATTCTAGCATTAATAGTTTTTCAAAATTATAATCTGTTTCAAGCATTACATAATTTCTCTTCATAAATAAGTGAGAGTCCAGTGTATCAGTGTTTCTAAATGATGACGACAGTAAGATTTCATCAGAATTGATTTTTCTTTAGCCTTCGATCGATAACAATTGTACAGTGAATAATTTTCAGATTCTTTAAATGAAGAAAGGTTAATGGGCGATAAGCCAAACTCCATGCCTAATAGTGATGGAGTTTCGTTAAATATTTCAATAGTGAAGCAGTCCAGCGCATCGATAGAATTTTATGATCGAAAAGCAGTTTGCTGGATGGAAATGGAATGGAAAGAGCGAAACGGTGATTCTTTTCAGTATTTTCATATAAGAGCACTGATTTCCTACTATGAAAATTGATTAGTTGCATCCATACAACTTCTAATGCATGGCAAAATTTACAGAAAAAAAAGGAATCCGGAAGCATCACGGAAAACGAATCGAGGACTTTCGAAGAGTTGATAGTTTCGGATTTCGCTCATTCAACGTTGAATGCGACAAGACATGGTTTAGAAAGGCTCGAGATAAAAGAAAGCCATATTTCCGCTATTAGACTGCCAAAATACCATTGACGTGATTGGATGGCAGTCCGTATGTCTCTAAACATCACGTCTAACACGGACTCGATTAATACGATTTTATGGAATAATTCTCCAACAATGGCAATCTGTGGGGAATTATCCACATATAATCATGGACTTTATGATTGCCAAAATACCATTGACATGGATGGATTTAAGGCAGTTTATATGTTCCACAAGAATCAATGGAATTTGGAATTTTGAAACATTAAAATAATGAGATTAGTTTTTGAAACTAATCATTCTTAGAATAATGCTGCAGTCACTATTAAACAGATAGAATACTGCGGCTGTCATGAGAGAAGGATGCTAAAATTAGGCGTGATGACTGCCAAAATACCATTGACATGAAGGGCATGAATGTCGCCTGGTCAAAAGGTCATGTAGATTTTTTGTGGACATCATAGTTCGATCCGTATGATTTACAATGAATGTGGAACATGGCTAGAAGGCAATCAATTTATTAATTTAATGGATGGAAGTCTATTTATCAATTATGAAGTAGCCACCATCGAAAGCTGCTAATATTCTTCAAGTGATCTGCTAAAAGCACTCGAAGGAAAACGTGGCAGACTTTGAAGAATAGCAGCTATCCTTATGAAAGTAGAACTGACAAGAGTGCTAAGGTTTTTGCATGAGGACGTCAGTTTATTTGGCAATGATCTTCAGATTCCATCTAGCGAAATCATCCTATCAAAGACATGGATATTTTGAAGCATGTCTGGGAATCAACCCTTTTTATTAGATACCCAGTATCGATTCGTCAACCCGTTCACGGAAGACAAGATTAGTTAAAAGGAGACCAAATCTGCATGTTGGTCTGTACAGTATCATCAGTTGGCAACATCCTTCTACTGGAAACAATAATTATTGCAAAAATAGCAAGGATACGGAGATAAGAATCCTAATTATGAAGACTACCGACTAGGGATGAACAAAATGTATTGGTCGTAGTCCTTCAAAGGCAGATCACATTAATTTATTTGAAGGAAAAAATCTGAGAAGCATCGACAACATGTAAGGTCAAGGGTGTGCAGTTAAATTGTAACAGCAAGGAAGACAATTTTTGGTACGAAATGAAATATATAGATCTAACAGCATTGTTATGGTAATTCATTTTTTGCTTGTTTAACATTTTCTTCGGTAGGTATATATTGTATATAGCATTAAATTGTATATAGCCACTCCTTATGATTATTCGAGCATAAATTAAGTTCTTTAATTCTAGTTTATTACTCATTTACTGGCTTATCTCTTGCCTTTGGCATTACCAGTAAACAGTTTATTGTTCGTTTTTTCTAGTTTGACTTATCAACTTTTTCGTTATCTAAAACTTATGTAAAAATACGCGCATAAAATGTTATATTTATTGTACTATAACATTGTTTTTTAATTTACTTTTTATTTGCTTAGTGTATTTCAGTAGAAATTGTTCGTAAATTTTCTCAAACCTGATTTTTTTTGTAATTTTTGTGACTTTTGTTGTCTTTTAGTAGTGTAACTGTAGTGCCCATTTTTAATTCAGATCACATTGTACATATATCATTTTATTGTGATTTTGAGTTGTGTTTGATGTTTAGGTGCTAACAATATGTTGGCACTAAATCAGTGCTCACTCACTGTAAGTGATTGGGTCGTTTTTATGTTTTTTCATGTTTTTATCTTCGTAATTAATTGTAGTTGAAATTTTAGTAATGAGAGAAGAGAATAAAATTGCAGAAAAAAGTTGAATTTGATTCTACATACAAAAGAGTTGCATCATTACTTCACAGTGGTGCATTTTTTGTGAGCGACTTTTACAGCATAAAAGCAATAAATATCATAGCAAAATAATAAAAAAAACGAAAAAATACCTCATGAAAAGAGAAAATACTCGAGATATTCTGACTGCTTTCAATACCTGGACAGTTGCGGAGTTTTCTGTCGATCACATTGGTTAACTTTTGATAGGAATGATGTAAAGTCGGGGATTTACTTGAAGCTTTTACAATAGTTGTTGCCTCCACTTTTTGGTCTATCAAACTCGAGGAACACGATATAAATGGCATACAGTACTTGTATTCTTCTAGTAACTTGGTGTTTGGTTTTCAAAGATTTTCAAAAAGTAGCGTCTTCAGGTAGTGAAAGTTGTACCTAGTTTCTCTGAATATATTTATTGGGATTCTTGACTTGCCAGCTGTAAATGGAAAAGATGTTCTTTCTCACAGTGATTGGAAAAGTAACCTTAATTGTGCATATTTTAAACAGTGGACAACAAGTTAAAATGTAGTATGGTAAAAAGTAGTTTACTGGTATTATTATTATTTGATATATTGCATACATATGCTTGATAAATTGTCAGCGTTATAAGGGAAGGTTGCACATCTTAGAAAGCAGGAAGTTAAGGAATCTAAACTTTGTCATGCGTCCAGCAGCCAGTGAATCTGTTTTTAGGAGCTATTATTTTCTCTACAATTCCGATTATGCAAACGTAAAATTGCCGCAGATCGAAATTAACAAACTCAGAAACTGTTCAATCTATTTTTGCTGAACTGTTGTAATAAAGAAAAAGTACTAAGCTGTAGATGAAGTGGAAAATGCACCTATATTTTTGTTGTTGTTGTTTTCTATGCATTTCTTAATCCCGACAGTGAAGAAACAATCTTATTACTCAAGTTTTTATTAGCACAATTCTTGCATACATCACTACTGAAAACTGCACAATCACTGAAACAAAGAAACAAAGGAATCAAACTGAAAAAACTAAGAAAATAAGTTAACGTGTCAATCAGTTTTGTTGCTGTTTGGATTCTTTTGCGTCCACTTTTTCACTGCATTCATCTCATACCGAAAGATCACATCAAAGAATCAGCACCCAAATACGAGATAAAGAATTGTTGAAATTAGAAGAATGTAGTTGTATTTTCAAAGTTTCAAAGTGTCTATCGTATGCAACTGAGTGATAGCATCGATAGATACACAGTGGAGTAACAAAATGCACAGTGATGTAGGAAAATTACAAAATTTAGTCGGAAAAATCAGAAGAAACTCTGCAGGGAATAAATTAACTCTCTGCTGTTTTCTTCCGTCGAATTCATGATAATATTTAGCAATCGTAAATTTACAGTACTCGATAAAATCTGTAGAATATTTTGCAAACAAAGTTCTGTTCAAGCAAAACACTAACAAACTCAGTATGCCTTCCAGTATTTTTTTTCCGTAGAAATTATTTGACAAATGTACATTTCGGTAGACTGGTCACTAATACGAAATTAATTCGTGCTATTAGCGTCGTATCTGGTGTTTTATACAAGTTTGGCTAAAGTTCATGCTCAAACACAAGTGTAAGTCATTCGTCAATTATTGAAAATATATACATACGAAAACAGAAATCTTTTAACATACGTAAAAGTACCAGTAAATATAAATTACGTGCCATCTCAAAATTATAGCGCTAATAATAAACCAGATCCAAATGTTAGATGAGCCGTTCTTCTTTGGTAACTGTTGTCATAGGCATAGAGTAACTACTTGACAAAACACTTTCTTCACGTGCTGGATTGTATTTTCCATGAAGTTTACGTGATCGACGTATGTATCGCAGCACTAACATGGCGCATGCTCCTGCTATCATCAACAGTGCTCAAATAAGAAATTCATTTATTGCGCAATGTAATAGCAAAGATAGTTCTTATCTAAAATGAAATACAAATGCAAATATTTTTTGCCGAATAATTTCTTAAAACGTTGATTTTCAGCATATCAAATGAGACATGCGATAATTTTGTTCTGAATAAGCAATACTTTTGAAGAGCGTAGAAGCGAACTGTTCCAAACATTACTCGTAACGAGAACACAGATGATAAATTATCTATCTGACTTTCATCAAGTAAATATCTGACAGAATAAAGATGAAGTTGAACTTACAACAAATAACAGCTAAAACTATGGTAGCGGAAGAGAAGCCATTTGCAGACATGTCTTCAGCTTCCCTGGCAGCACCCTCCGACTGCTGCTGCAAATTAGGAATTGCTGTAGTTGTGGGGAGACCAATGGTCAGTTTCATTAACTTGACATTATCTCCTTCAAAAATTCCATCTTTCCGCGTGTTGGGCTTGACCTCTAATGTGCTCGTCTAAACAGTCAGAGTTTCAAAAACATTGCTTTAACCAACAAAATTTATTAGAGTTATTTGATCGGAAAAATTTTTACTTGCCTCTCAATTTGTCTCTTGTCTCCATAAAGTTGCAGCAAATTATCAGTACTTGAAGTAATGACATCACTTTTGGTGAAGTCAAAAATGGTTTAATATTGTTGAGATTTTTTCAAGTCATTTTAGCTTCATTTATTAATCACTGCTCATCGTTGTTGTGCACACAAATTAAAACAGCCTAATATTGACGATTTGTCGACTAATTCATCATTATTAAGTGACTCTATTATGCAAAGGTCAAATAGAGGCAATGATTATGGACAGAAAAACCAACAAACATTTGAATGAAAATATTTGTTAGTTTGAAGAGAGTACTGCAAGCAATGTATCGAATTCACTCACCTGATCAGTTTTTTGCGTCGGTTCTTTGCTAACTTCGCTTGTTACTATTAATATCCTTTCCGTTGAAGTTGACTGTTCATCTTCAACTTTATCCTCACTTTCTGAGTTTACACTCAACTGCTTCATAACTGGCGTGAAGCTAAAGGAAGAGAAAAATGGACTACTTGACGTTTTAACTGAATCGTTTTCAGTGCTGGAAGTAACGTGTAATGAAAGATACGGAGACGTTGTGAATGACATGCCATCCACTCCTGCCGTTGCAGTGTTTGATGCAGTGAACAGTAAATCTTCCATCACTGATGAATTCATTTCTTTACTAACATTTGCATTCTGCTCTACAGATACCTTTGATATATCTCTGTAATCGGCATCAAAATCAAAATTCCCAGTTGTACCAGTATTTGGTGTTGTGAAATTTACAGAATTTGTGAACTCTGAGTCTCCCGGTGTTGTCATTATTGTTACAAGCGTTGTTGCTTCTTCTACTTCTGTAGACTCTTGAGATCTAGAAGTTGCATTAAAGAAATGCCGAAAAGACGGTACAGCTTTGGTAGTAACTGAAGACCATTCTAAAGTTGTCGGAAAAACAGCAACAGTACTCGAGAAATCTTGGTTTGATGAAAGGCGTGTAACTAACGGGACAGGCGTCAGCTCGGTGGTTCTAGAATTACAAGTAGTGCTTTATAAAATTCATATTTTAGAACCTAAATTTTAACATAGAGAGCAGTACTGCTCTTTATGTTAAAATTTAGGAAAATACTTGAAAGCATAAAATTATTTTCAGTTAATATGATAAGTTTTGGTAGAAAAACAAGAAGTGAAAAATTGTAATATTGTCAATAATCTCAACCTGCGTGGAGCTAACGATCCTTCAGTTTCTAAAATTCTGTGTGACTGGGAATTCTCGTCATTATGCAGTGGTGCAATGCCAGTTTTACGTTCAGTTGGTGTCATCAAAAAAGAATCTGATAATGACCGATTATTGTAAAAACGTGGAATACTATGCAAAGTTGGTACCAAATGTTGTTTTGGATCTTGAGGTAGCACTGCTTTCAAAATTGATTGAATTGGTTTTACGATATTTGATTCTCCGAGTACAGCTGCGGATGTAGTTAACTTCACTGCAGTCAAGGGTTTTTCTTGCAGTTCCTTACAAGCAATCCATTCTGAAGCAGAAATTACTGACATAGCAACTGCTGTAAACTCATTCGATCATAAAGCATTTATCAAAAAATGGACAGAACTTCGAAATAAATATAATTTGTTGCGAAAATTAAAAACTTGAAATCATTTTTTCCGCTTTTTTATTTGCTTGTTTTTTAAGCAATTTTACAGTGCTGAACAAATGAAATTTTCTACACTTATTAGACAGTCAAAGTTGATAACTGACCAGACTGTTCATTTAAACAAAGACAAGTAAATGAAGCGTTCAAGGGAACTGGAGAGATCAGTGCGAAACTGTTCGGATCTAACTGGCACCGAGCACTTGTGCCGTATTTGAGGCAGGCTTGTGTACTGAAAGTTTGTACTCTCTCAGTGCTTACAGCTGTTATCACTTGCAGCTAACAAAATTTCTAAATAGATTTTGTATAAAATATTTTTGGATATTCTGATTTGATAGTATTGTTTTTGTAAAAATGAAAGATTCAAACGCCAACTTGTTATGACAAGTATCTATGATATTGCAGTTGACTCCAATGGTGCCAGATGGACATCGGCAAATGGGAGCATTACCAATCTTCTCACAAATTCCGCCTTGTTCACAAACTGGATTGCAAAGAATCTGCAACTCATAAATATCTTTTAATAGCCTGCAAAAAGTTTTCAGATTATCCAATTTTCCGAGGGCGAAATTTGTTTCTATCATTGTCATATTGTCCAAAAAATCTGTAAAATAATTAATAAAGCGAACCTTTTTTTATTTAAATCGGAGATTTTAGTATGATAGTCTGAATATTTATTCAATAGATATTAAGACTAAAAACAAAATTTATTACTATTTTAAACACACAATATCAGTAATAATGAATAAGCAATGATGAAAAAGTTAATTTTCCAAAATGAACCTCTTCGCAGAATGTACCAGTAGTTCCTGGCTGACATAGGCAATAAGGTATATTTCCTGTAGTTCTACAAATACCATCATTCTTACATTTTACATTAGCACATAATTTTATTTCGCATTGTGATCCGATAAAACCTTCTGGACACATGCAAATAGGCTGAAATGCTATTTGCATAGGAATAGAAGATTTGCTTACTTCTTAACTGAGTTAATAGAACGTAGCTAGCACATTAATTCTGCTATTCAAGAGATAACAATTAAATTGTGCCTTTGATTTACGGAAAATGCTTGAAGTTTACTAACCGATCCATCATGTCCTAAGACACAAGAACCATTGTTCTGACACTGAATACTAGCGCAAGGTTGGCTATTCATCTCTACCTTAACATCTTTTATTATTGTTTTCGGGATATTTGATATTTGCGATAGAACTGATGACATTAATTCACTGTTTTGAGAGATATTGCTTACAGGACTATGTTCTGTGGGCGGTATCACGCTGTCCACTCCCACCGATTTATCAGTTGAGGAAGTGCTAGAAGCTACTGGGATTCTAGCAGCTATCTCAGACCTCTGAGTACTTTTTCCTTCGTTCAGTATGGAACTGTTGACGTTCTCCGAAGTATGGGTTAATAAATTATGCGCAAACGGTATATTTGCATTGGGTGAGAAGAAAAACGGTTGATTGCTAATGATATGAGTCGGTGTGAGGATGCTGTGTACATCTGCTGAAATTAAAAAAGTTTTAGCAAAAAAAGCAAACCTTGAAATTTTCTAAATTATTTTTTCCAACAAAAAAGTTGATGTCACCAAACTGCTTAATACTTTTCTGCAGTTTCCTTTTGTATTGCTTTGGAAATTTCTGAATATAGATTTCTTAATGACTCTCTTTGATTGTTCCTAGATGCCTAAATTAAAGTCAACTCAATCTTAAATTTGATCTATTCTTTGCAAATGAATATTAATTTGTTATAATAGACTATAATTAAACAATACTAATGAATAAAGGCCGAATACAATTTTATAATTTCCACTGTAATTTTAATCTTATGTAGTCTTAATAATTATAGTCATTAATTATAATTTTAATAAAATAAAGTGAGTTCTTTTTCAAAAAATAACGCAAATAGAAGTGCGTAAAACATTTATTGAATGTTGAAAAGTTATTTTACGTTTGAGCAAATGCCTGGAAGAATGTGTGCTGATCGCAGCAGGTATGGAACAGCCACATTCAAGAGCAACTGCCTGGAATGAGTTGCGCTGCAACCTGGGAGGACAGTTTGCTAGCTTTTCATTCTGCACAATCATATCACGAATGCATTCTGGTCCATCTTCTGCAACACTTTTTTCACAAAACTGTGCAAGAATTATTAACCATAAAAAAGTTTCTGTACTTATCAAACAAATTGCTAAAAAGTTACTAATATCAAACATTTTGGAATTTTTGATGATAGCAATTCTCGACGTACGAGTATGGGACAAGCACGCAACGCAGACTTTACGCAACTTTTTGTGTCAATTTGTAATTTTTTGTTTATTTTGCTACAATATTTTACTGTTCAAATAAACAACAATAAAAGAAAGTAATCTCACGAGCAAGAATACGTAATGAAAATGTTCGCGGCAAATTGCTTGGGGGAAAATTGACTTTCGATATGGTCGACTCGATGTCTGTGATATTACAAATCAACGAATTCTCTGTCAACGTCCAGAAGAACCGTCGCCATCTGTTATCTGTAAATACCAACGTTCAATTCTGCTGTCAAATTTTTATTTAATTTTTCTGAAAAGAAACGAAAGCGGACATTCCAATTGCAAAAATTGGAAACGTCAAAAGAAATTTTGGTACACTAGTTGTACAGGTATTAATGCAACAATTTAACGAAGAAAAAATTTTATAAATCATTAATTTGAAAAGTAAGAAAAGATTTTCAGCAACAAAGTGAAATATTTGATACGATCTGCCATCAATTTGGAATGTTCTACATCAAAGTGATAAAACGATCCATTTGATAATTGATGTTTCGTGATAATGAAAATCAAAAAAGGAAATTATCAATGCTGACCTCGTGGAGCAAATGATGAACAATTGCCAAGGTGATTACCGTTTGAACTGTCCACAACTGCTAATAAATTGCTGATTGTTATTTGTGCAGACCTAAATTGAATTATTTTGTTGCGTACAATAAAGCAATGGGCAGGTGATAAAAACAAGAAGTGAGAATAAATTAAAGACTTTTAATTTGCTTATTTGAATCTGATTTCTATTCAGTAATTAAAGAAGGCAAGTCGAATAATAGCACATTGAAACTCCACCGAAATTTTTGGTCAAAAAATGAAAACTGCAAGGATATAAAATGGCAGTGTTAATAAATAATTACGAATTCTTACGGGTTTTTATTAACAATATTACTATTTCATATCGAAATAAACACAAGAAATTCATTTACAGTAAAGCTTTAGACAGTGGTAATTAGTTGAACTGATTATAGAATCACAATTTATCTTGAATAGTTATCAACATGAAATGGTCATTTCCAGTTTTCAATCTCAAAAGCCTTGCAAAATAGCTAAGGCCTTTTCAATATTATTGAAGTTATTTTCAACCAAAGCTGTTTGTTTAATGTTATAAATATTTCACCGAAAATTGTTTTTATGAATAACCGAGCAGACGATTATTACATTTTGTATACAAAAATAATCACGCAAGGCCATTTTAATTAAGACATTATCAAGTTTTAAAACATAATTGTTCAATGAATCAAATCACGTTTTAATTACAAATGCAGTGTTTTAGATGCTTGATACTCATGTATAGTGTAAACTTCTTGTTGACTATGTTTGGCTATGTATAATTCTGTATTTCTTTGGTTATTTGAGCACTTACTCGGTAAAATAATATTGCCCAGTCCAAGGCAAATCATTTTCATAAATTACCCACGACATTCGGCCAAGTTTTGGATCTGAAAAATGTGCAGTGGTCGTCTGGACCGAGGAAGGATCATCGAATTCTGCCACTACCCAGTTGAAAAATACTTCTGAAAAGAACTGCTTGTTTTCAAAGAAACAAAAATATGAGAAAAATTCTTTTCAATTTATCGCTTTGGACAACTTTTGCAAAAATATTTTATTAATGGGACTTTTGAGACTTTAAAAATTATTTGTAAAAGTAAAATCTTGTAAAATTTACATTATATTTTCTTGTAAAAATTTTCTGTAGTTGGAGCTTTTGCATATTAGCAACCTTTATTAAGAACTTTAATTATGGATAACTTTGGGCGATCTTTACTTAAAATAGCATAATATTGCCTGGCCCAATTTCATGCTTTCCAAACTTTAAAAACTGTTTTACACTACTATGCATTCTTTTAATTTTAAGAAATTTATTCGCATAAAAATCAGAACTTTTGAAAAAGATTTCTTCCGTCGTAAGAAGGACAGTAGAGAATTTGTAGACGTGGCAAGATACTTACTTTGTAAAGATACCAGTAATACGATGAGAGGTTTAAAGTTGAAATTATACATGGCAACATTCGCTGTACACTCTAACTACTGAGCTGCTTTTTTGGTTACTGACAAGTAGCATCAAATACCAACGGAAAACTGTAAGAAATGACAAGACATTATCAAAATCATAAAAAGGCTGAAAAAATATTAAATATTACTTTCGTTGTCTACAATTCACGGAATCTTCACAATGCATTCACTTTCTCGTTTTCGTTTAAGTGAGAAAAGTTGAAACTTCGATATTTCAATTGTGCAACTGCGGGACAATGCAAAAAAATTGCCCGATATTACACGCACTCATTTTTTGCTTCCTTAGAAGCTTTCAAGCTCAGATTAGCTCTCATTTTCAACGATTATAAACTAAAGTCTGTGAGAAGATTTTGGCATTCGATTAGATTAAATTTTGTACAGAAAAAATACTGTAAATGGGTACTAAGAAAGACTCTAGGAAATGTGACGAAGTTAGTTCTATCAAAATGATTTGCATTAATAGAAGGGGCGATCTGCTTGCTCATCACTCACTGCTCTTAACCTTCCTTCCATCATCAGTGATAATGTCCACAACAAACTAAGTCTTAGTCAGAAAAAGACGACACGATCAAGCAAGAGCAGTTCTGTAAACTCTTCATGGAATTAAGTAGTTATCTGAATGAAATATTCACGAACTAAATTAAATCTCTATGAAATTCTTGTGTAATTTAGAGAAAAAAATCGGTATCATATGATATGGAAGAGATGAGATAAAAAATGAATTACCAATGTCGTTGAATTTTTGTTACTTCAGTATGACCTTTGTTTGGCATCAATACCAAAAATTTGCGAGAAGAATTATTCTTTGTGCTGGTATTTATTCAAGGTTTTTTCTTCGACAATTTGTTTTACTATTTCTTCACTGAATCGATAATTCTACACAGTAACAATAACACAATCAAAAATGTCTCAGAGATTTGCGCTTGCCAACTACTGCAGTTATTTGCTGAATCTGAAATGAATTTGAATGGTTTAATCTTAACGTATGAGAAGTGAGAGTTTACTCGTACGATGTCGTTTAATTCATTGTGTGTTAAGTACAAAGAAAGTAAAACTTATGGGACAAAACACTACAATATTTGTTGCCAAAAATAGTTTCACGTATTTCAATATGAATACAATAACTTAATTTTACTTCTTACAGTATTGCAGTATGAATCAAATTTTCATTTCAGTAAACTGATGAAAATGAAATTTGTGACATATATATTGCTAAATAGTATTTTTTTATCCAGAAAAATTCATTTCCAGAGAATTGCACACAAATGTTAGGATCATAAATTAGGAAAAATCATAAGAAAACATGCATAAAATGCAGCTGAGCAGCGAAAATGCAAATCACGTCAAGTAAAGACACGCAAATCACAGATAATTGAGTAAAGTGTTTACATATTGTACACAATGCTAGCAGAATTCAGTTTGCCATATTTTTAGTGAGTAATTTTGTATATATATAAGGTAACCATAAATTTTATTTTATTGCTAATTGCTGACTTTGATGCGAGAAATACCTGAGAGGAAGTTGCAATTTACCAAAGTTTTGTTAGCAAAAGTTAAATTATTTGACATTTTTAATTTATTAATCACTGCGTCGAATTTCGGCATTTCCCATAATATTAGTAAACTTTGAAAAAATAGCACTGATAGTTTCAGTAATAAACAATATGAACTTGCAAATACTTCAGAATTATATCATTGCAGCATTAACAAGACTGAATTGAATTTTGATACTTTTCAGTCGTATGACGTTATTTTTGATGTGTTTAAGCGTCAGTAACGATTAAGTAATGAATCATTTGACAACAATTTAATGATACATTTTGGATTACGACGCAACATAATGCTTATCAACTTATCACATTATCAAATTTAAGGAGCAATTATTAAGATATTCAGTGGCTATGGTTTGCTTTTTTAATTTATAGTGCTATAAATGATAAAGTAAACTAACGAAAAAGATTGAAATTTTTAATTGAAAAAGTAAGTAAAAAAATCGAAATAGTTATGGAAATGCAAAAAATAAACGGAATTTCAATAATAAAAGTAAAGCATTTTTCAAACTTTTAAATGAAAAGTTGCACTAAATAATAAAATTGTATTCGGATACGAAAAGAGGTAGCAGAAATTCGATAGTTCTTTCTCGCTTTAGTTTGATGGAAGCAAATTGTAAACAACGTCATCGAAAATTATGAATTATCGATAAACAATGATGACGATTTGTGATAGTGATTTCCGTGATGACGCTGGCCGTGTACAGCAGTAATAACAATAACTACAATGATGATGGATGGTAACAGCAATAATGTTCAGAAGCAGTTGTTAAAAAACTAACGGAAAAAAGCTCAATTTGTAACAAATATTTAATAAAAACTGTAATAATTTGTGATTGCAGAAATAAGGCCAATGTAATGTCATAATGTCATGACGTAAAATGAGTAAATGAAAATATTTTCAAATACTAATATAATTCTAATTATGGTCTAAAATTGATTGCTCTCAAATGCACAAGGGATGAGATAGAAGAAACAAAAAACTGAATGTCCTCACAGATTAATTCATCATCAGTCAGGATAAACTACAATAGACTACTTGAACGAATACTTGAATAATTAATTTTTTCTTCTGACAAATTTCTTTTAGAGTTCTTTTTTCGTTTTGTTTTTCAATGAGTAAGCAGAATAGCAATTCTTCCGTTGACGACGAATTACTTTTTAATATTCAGTCAAGGGTTTGTGTCCTTGCACTATCTTACAAGTAAATCAAAAATATTTATCTACAAATGATTGTGATTTATTCTTAAATCACAGATTTATTTATTACTTAAAAACCGTTATATTATTAAAGGTGCCATTAATTATCAACTACTTCCTAATCCATTTAAAAGCTATAAAAATTTTTACAAAATTATATCAATAAGGAAAATGGAAAAAGCTTCAATTTCGTTTTGACTGCACACAAAATTAAAAATCAAAATTTTATTTGCATCTCATGCAATTAGTTTAAAATGGTATAGTAGTTGTGTATTCGAACAATTCAAATTATTCGTTTTTATATTAATAATGTAAAACGATTAATTATGACAGAAAAGTATTTTTACATTTCATGAGTTTAAAATGTTGCTCACTCGTAATTTTCGATTATCTGATAAGGGCAGAAAAGTTTTCCACTCTTACTGAAATTCACTAAATTGTCTACTCTTTCTTTCAATATAATTAAATTATGGCATTAGTTTTTGAAATGGGTATTTAAGATTATTAGTAAATGTAAGCACAAACATAAAAAACAATTACCAATTGGATTAAGTATTAGTTATAATAGATATTTAGCATTAAGTAATCCCACACAGTGCTAGTAATTGTAAATTGCTTGTTAACAGCGGGGAAATTCTTTTGATTTTTAATTATTTGCAATATTTTAACGATTCATACATAAGAAAACTGTGAATTTCAGTTCCTAAAGTAATTACATTCTTACAGTTTTATATACATATCAATTTTTTCTGCTCTAAAACTTATACAATAGCTGAAAAAATGATTTTAAACCTGCACAGTTCAGCGACTTTAGTTTCATTAAATGAGTTGACGACATTTTTCGGCCAGTTTTTTCAGATAAAATCACAAAAATTAAGTTTTGCGCAATTTTAAATGAATCTCAGAACAAGCTTCTGTGCTTGATTGTTTCCAATCATAGAGCTCCAAAAAAGGTTGTTTTGTTCAAAATTGGAAAACATTTTTAAAATAATTAATCAACCCAAACAATATCTTTTTGCGTAAGTAAACATAGCAGAAATTGGGTTGCTATGCAACGTTTTTTAACCTATCACACACACGGAAGTAAGCAGTCTATTTACCTACAAATCTTTTTAAGTCTTAAAAAAAGGCAGCGTTGTGAAGCGTTGGCCGAAATCAAAAGTGACCAGAAATTTTTGAGACAAAAAAGGAACGCTGATGAACGAAGGGTCAAAAATACTTGGACGAATATGGACAAAGCTTAGCAGATTGGAATTAATTCAGAAAAAAATAACTATTAAAGTTGGCAAAATAATGTTTGTGCACTTATAACAAGCAAACTTTTCAGTTCTTCAGTTACATAAAATTTTTGAAGAACCAATTTGTGTCACACCAAATTTTCAGCGCAAAAAAATCAGCTTAGATTTCTCGATCTTATATTTAATTCAGTAACTTTAATAATGCTACAAATCATATAAAATTAATATATAAGCTAGTTTTCACAACTTTTATTTAAACATAGAGATATTTTATGCTTTCAAGGCAAAAACTTTCGCACTCCTATAATTCACAACAAAATCCATGATACTTAGTTAAAGTAAGTGAGATACTTGCTAGTTTCCCTTATTTGGCTAAGAATTAGTATGAGAGGATGGCGTGAGCTGTAGTGCAGCAGTAGACAAGTGATGGATATGAGCAAATTTATGATTCAAAAAAGCAGACAAAGAAAGTTTCCATAGCAAAATTACCTTCTAAATTTCCTTGCGGTGTTCGCATCTTTGGGAGATCGCAGTCATTTCCGAGTTGAACCCAAAACAACGAAGACTTTTTCGAGCACTGTCATTCACAGATAAACTGCTTTGAAAGTATGTGAAAAATAATTTGCTGCTGCACTCTTGCTAGCACATAATTTATGGTAAGGCAGTTATCGATTAAATCGAACGTTACGTTCCACGCAGATCATTTTGAATAACTATCACTTCTCATGCACTATTAATCATTCGAAAAATATTCATAATAGTTTTTTGCGTTCAGAAACTTTTCTCTTATAGAAACAAAACTTTGAGCAATCACATAGAATACACACACTGCAATATTCGGACATTCTTCAGCAATTAACTCAAACTTTGCAAAAATTTTTCACGCACTTTT